CTGAGAACAAGACCAAGGTAGAAAATAGGAAAAAGCCTCATCAGGGAAATAAAAATCAAAACCACACTGAGATACCACCTCACGCCAGCCAGAGTGGCTAAAATGAGCAAATCAGAGAACTCTAGATGCTGGCGAGGATGTGGAGAAACGGGCACCCTCCTACACTGTGGGTGGGAATGTAAACTGGTGCAGCCCCTCTGGAAAACCGTGTGGAGGTTCCTCAAAAAATTAACAAGAGAACTCCCCTATGACCCAGCAGTAGCACTGCTAGGAATTGACCCAAGGGATACAGGAGTGCTGATGCATAGGGGCATATGGACCCCCATGTTCATAGCAGCACTCTCCACAATAGCCACATCATGGAAAGAGCCTAAGTGTCCATCAACGGACGAACGGATCAAGAAGATGTGGTTTATCTATACGATGGAATACTCCATGGCAAATAGAAAGAATGAAATCTGGCCATGTGTAGCAACATGGATGGACCTTGAGGGTGTTATGCTGAGCGAAATAAGTCAGGCAGAGAAGGACAAATACCATATGTTTGCACCTGTAGGAAGATTAGGAGGAACTTAAAGGAGGACCGTGGGGGAGAAGAAGGGGAGAGGGGGAGAGGCAAACCACGAGAGACTCTTGAATGATGAGAACAAACTGAGGACTGATGGGTGTGGGGGGGCAGGGGGGAGATGGGCGTGGAGGAGGGCACTTGTGGGGATGAGCACTGGGTGTTATATGGAAACCAACTTGACAATAAACTATTTATAAAAAAAAAAAAAAAAAAAGAAAGAAAATAGGAAAAATCAAAGTTGTAATACAGGCCTGATTACTGCAGGTTTCCAGAAGAATGCCAAGTGTCTAGATTAGCCCTTCTCAACCCAGGTTGGGTTCCACAGAGAATTAAACCCTAATGCCCTCAGGCATCTATTGTGTCAATCGAATGAACTCTCTTATGCATCCAGAATGGGGCTATCTATGTACCATACTTGGGGGAATGGAGAAAATGGTTACTCAGATAATCAAATAATTTTCTCTGGAACTTAATTCACTAGCAGAATCCCCATTGAGAAAAGCCGTGTGAGGTCCTCATCTGTTGTCTTGAATGACGAAGTAGGTTTCTGACATACAGGTCCTCAGGAACGAAAGCGGAAAAGAGCCTGATGTCAAATTGCCAAGCAATTAAAGAGAATAATCTCTTTATTCATTTAATAGAATAGTTATTAGTAAAACATGCACAGGAACACCTTGTACAAACCCCAAGCAGTGATTTTTTTGAACAGTCTAACGTGTGTCCTTCCAGACGTGGTGCACGTGAACATAAGTGTAAGTAGTGTTTACTGCAAAGAATGGGATCATGCCCTTCACTTAGTTCAGTTTTTTCCCATGAACTCTTACGGAAATTCATCTCTATGATTACATACAGACCTGCCTCTTTCTGAGGGTTGCGTGATACTCCATGGTTTGGTTGGTACAAACTGTATTTTATCACTCGTATGTTACTGGACATTTGGGTTATCTTCAGTTTTTCACTGTTAGGAGCAGTGCCATAATGAACATCTTGGTTCAAAAATTCTTGAATATATGTATATATACATATATATACATATATATTTTTTTCTATTTCCAGATTCTAGAAGTGGAACGGAGTCAGGATGGATACCTTTTACTTGTTTTTTTTTAATTTTTTTACTGTTTTATTTATTTTTGAGAGAGAGAGACAGCATGAGCAGGGGAGGGAGACACAGAATCTGAACCAGGCACCAGGCTCTGAGCTAGCTGTCAGCACAGAGTCCGACACGGGACTCGAACCACAAACCGCGAGATCATGACCTGAGTGGAAGTTGGACGCTTAACCAACTGAGCCACCCAGGCGCCCCCTTGTATGTTTTTATTAATATAAACTTCAAATACAGTCAAAAGTAGGGAATAATATAGTGATCCCCCATGTACCCCCTTTCCACCCTTCAGTAATGATCCCTGTGTGGCTATTTTTGTTTCCTGCTCACCCCACCCACCCTCTCCTACCCCAACACCAGATTTATTATGAAGCAAAGACATACTGTCTTTGCAGCAGAGGTTTCTTGAGTCATGATCCAAACAAGGTCTGTATGTGGCATTTGGTTGAGATGACTTTTAAGTCTTTTTTAATGTATATATATTTTAAATTTTTAAATGTTTTTTAATTTATTTTTGAGAGCGAGAGCGAGAGCGAATGAGCAGGGAAGGGTCAGAGAGAGAGGGAGACACAGGCTCTGAGCTGTCAGCACAGAGCCTGACATGGGGCTTGAACTCCTGAACCATGAGATCATGACTTGAGCCAAAGTCGGATGCTTAACCGACTGAGTCACTCAGGCAGCCCTTAATATATTTTTTAATGTTGGTTTATTTTGAGGGAAGGAGTGTGCAAGCAGGGGAGGGGCAGAGAGAGAGAGAGAGAGAGAGAGAGAATCAATCCCAAGGAGGCTCCATCCTGTTGGCATAGACCCCAACACGGGGCTCAATCCCACAAACCATGAGATCATTACCTGAGCTGAAATCAAGAGTGGGATACTCAACCGATTGAGCCACACAGGCACCCCAAGTCTTTTTTAGCATGTAGGTTTCTCTTCTTATTTTTTTCTTTTCCCTGTTAATTACTTGGTGAAGAAGCATTTGTCTGATAGCATTTCCAAAGTTGTGGATTTTGCAATAGTACCCCTGTGGTGTGATTTATTAAGTTCCTCTGTCCCTTTTTCTCCTTGTAACTTGGTACTTATATTGGGAGGCTTATTTCAGATCCGGTTTCATTTTTTTTTTTTCTTCTGGAAAGAATAGTTCATAGTTGATTGTGTACTTTGTTTTTTTCTTTTTTCATGATGTGAATGGCCCTTGACAATCATTGCCTAGATCCATTGTTTCATTAGGGGTTACAAAATAGTGATATTTGAATTTTATAATTAATTTCTGAGTTATTAGTACAAATGCTGAGACATTTCCTCTCATCAGTGACTTGGTTACCCCCAGGATACAGTTCATCAGAAAAGGAGACTATATGCTTAATTTTTGCTTTGATAACTTTCAAAAATAAAGAGATAGCTCCTTAGCGTTCTCCACAGGTGACCCTGAAGTTGTGTAAGACAATTATGAACTCCTCATTTTAATACAGTTGATAGGTTTCAATCCTTGTTTATAGTTACTATTCTTCTTAGTGCTCGTATTGTCCCTTCTTTGGTCAAAAACTGATTATTGGTAGTTCCTGAGTCTTTTTGGTATGAACTTCATAGTTTGTGTCTTTATATTAAGATGTCCCAGGGTCATCTTAGACATGGAGTCCGCCACTCCCCCATAGAGTTCTTGTTCCTTGTAGTGAGAGGTGGTATTTACAGACCCCCGTCAGGGTTTGGAGGTTCTCATTGCTACTGAGTTACTCATCGTTTTGGTCCTTTTCGGTAGACAGAGCTAGGAAAACCACTGGATAACTTCATACTGACGTTTCAATTCAAATTTAGGAGTGTAGGAGTTTTACTGAGTTCCTTTGATTTTGTGTTTGTATCTCTTATCTTGAAAAATCTGGTTTCTAATGATATTAACATCATTATTTGTTGTATTCTCTACTAATACATAATATTTGCAAAATACCAGTTCCTGTATTATTGCTAACAATATGATTACCCGAAACTATTTAAGATTTCTTTGCTTTATATTTTTTCCTCAAGTTGTATCTTCTTAGGAAAGTACAAAGTGCTGTGCTTTAAAAAATCGTGTGAATCGGTTTGTCTTTTGTGGGTAAGCCACCAACTGCATGCAGAGGGTCATTTGTTTTGTTTGGCTCCAGCCACAAATTCAGATGGTGTTTATTGGCAAATGGTGTTTTTAGGGAACAATTTCAAATTTTTAAAAGTTCATTTCCTTTTATATTTGGTAAAAAAAAAAAAAAAAACAAAAAAAAAAAACCACAAAAAACGTAGTTTCCAAGTCACATTCCAAGAAGTGAATTTGGACTCCTGTCCTCTTCAGCGTGTTTTCTCCGTACACCAGACGGTAGCTACTTTTATTACCTTTTGGTTTGTCTTTCCATTTTGAAGAAATAAAAGCAGATAAATATTCACATCCCTGCTTTGCTTAAATAAAAAGGGAGCCCTCTGTGCGCAGTATTCAATGCCTTGCTTTCTGGTCTTAACACTATTATTCTAGAGACCACTCCATAGCAGTATTACATAGAAATTGTTTCTTTCTACAAATGCTTACTATATTATAACATGAATATGAACATCATTAGGCAAAGCTGTTTCAATCAGCCCCCACAACCAATGGGCGTTTCCTCCCAAACCTTCACAGGGGCACTTAATATTTCACAGCCACAAACTTGGGTTATTTTGTGGCAAAGATTATTTTAACAACAATCTGAGGAATCCCTTACCTGTGTGTGAAATGCAATTTTTACCATATAAATTAATAAGAAAGAAGACTGATACATGAATATAGAAACAGTTTTCTAAATTTTATTTTCCAGTGGATGGAACGTGAGACAGGAGAACAGGAATTGCTGGGGTCTTTTCCTGGTGAGGATGGCAAGGTCGAGACATGCGCAAACACATTTCTAAATTTCTCTTGGCTTTCTGAACTGGGGGACCCTGCTGCGTTTCCAAAAGAACCTTTTGTCAAAGCACGTCATCCTCACGACTTAGGCGTAGCTTCCCAGATCCTTGCTGTCCATCCAGCTACAGGTGGCTCTGCCGTGTTATTTTTTCTGTCTTTGCAAACACAACGGTCTGCGTCGGCTCTCATCCACAGTCTGGGACTCAGTGAGAGAAGGGGACCGAATAGGGACTGTGACAGTGTGAGATTGACGGGGGTGGGTCCGAAGCACTTGTTACATTTGAACCTGAAAAAGTGAATTACTGTTTAGCTTTGGTTTCCCGCTAAAGCGCAGTGCCCGCACACCAGCCCGTGCCAGAACAGGCGCCCGCGCGCTCCCACGTCCTGCTGCAGACCCGAGTGATCTCCCCACACAACTCTTTCAGGAGGAACAGTGCCGGTGACCGTGAGAAGGCTCTGCAGGTCATGCTCCAGGTTCTGCAGAGCTGTGATCACCCGGCCCCCGACATGTTGTGCCTGTGTGGGAGGATCTACAAGGACATCTTCTTGGATTCGGAGTGCAAGGATGGCATCAGCCGAGACCGCGCCATTGAGTGGTAAACCCTCCATCCTAGTCGTAGCGCATGCATCTCTGCAAAGAACAGATCTGCAGAGGCTAAGGATCCAGGTCGTGTGTGTGTGTGTGTGTGTGTGTGTCCGTCCCCGCGCCTGCCTGCCTGCTAGCGGTGGGGAGAAACACAAAGTCACGTGTGTGGTTTGGTTTCTAAGGAAACCATTAGAAACTGGGTTTTGTACTGGTGCCGTTATTCCCACAAGTCCACTCATTTATAGGGGCAAGAAGGAGGCTCAACATGCCCCTTCCCAGCTACTCTTTCCAGAACTGTGTTCCACCACCGTCAGCGCATTATCTTCTCAGTGAGCCCTCCCTGCCTGCACCTGCCTTCCTGCCTGCCTGCCTGCCTTTGTTCATTTAACAAAAGTTGATTGAGGGTTTACTATATGGCAGAAACTTTTCTGGATGGTGGGGGGTAAAGACACGACAGACATAGACATGAGTTCCCGCCTTCGTGGGCCTTGCATTCCTGGTAAGGGAAGTCAGAGAAGGAAAGACAGAAACATAGGATCTCACCGGCTGATGAGGGCGCTAGGGACAAGTTCATCAGGGAGCCGGAGGGGGCTTGGGGGAGGGGTTGGCTGCGGTTTCAGGTAGGTCATCAGTGAAGGTGAGTAAAGATGTGAGGGTGGTGAGATGAGTCTTGCAGACAACTGTGAAGAAAGCCTTCTGGGAGCGAGGGCGAGCAAAGGCAGAGCCAGGAGGGGCCAGTTTGCCCCACACGCTCAAGGACAGTGGGGCGTGAGCAAGGGGATAGTGGCAGGAACTGGGAGAGAATCCCTCTTTTTTTTTTTTTAATTTTTTTTTTTAATGTTTTATTTATTTCTAGGAGAGAGAGAGAGAGAGACAGCATGAGCAGGGGAGGGTCAGAGAGAGAGGGAGACACAGACTCTGAAACAGGCTCCAGGCTCTGAGCTGGCAGTCAGCACAGAGCCCGACGCAGGGCTCGAACCCATGAACCGCGAGATCATGACCTAAGCGAAGGTCAGACACCCAACCGACTAAGCCACCCAGGCGCTCCGAGAATCCCTTTTTATTGTGAGTGAGATGATAGAACATCAGAGCCCTCGGGGCAGAGCAGTGATGAGAGCCCATTTTTTTTTTTTTTTTAACCAGCGCCTTCTCACTGTTTTTGCAAAGAAGATGTTTCAAGAGGTGTATCGGCTGTCGTTTGCTGCATAACAAACAAGTCCAAAAGCTGGTGGCTTAAAACAGTGATTTATAATTTTTCATGGTTCTTTGCATTGGCCGGGCAGCCACTCTGCTGGCCCCACTCGTGTAGTGCTGGTCTCTCTCTTAAAAATGAGCTCGGCTGGAGGCTCAGGAAGGCTGGAAGGTCCGAGATGGCCTCATACACATTTGGCAACTGGTGCTGGGTCTTGGTAGTTCATTCACCTCCATTCTCTGCTTGTGGTTCTAATCCCGGCAGACCAGCTTGGTGGGCAGCATTCTGGGAGAGTGAAGGTGGAAGCTGCAAGGCTTAGGCTCCGGAACTCACAAGGTCAGTTCTGCCTCGTGGCCATGGTCAGATCATACGCAGATCACATGGTTAGCCAAATGCAAGGGGGCGGAGGAATAGACTCCTGCTGTGCGTGAGAGAAATGACGAAGGCACACGTGTAGTGGGAAGGGAGGGATTTGTGGCTGTTCAATCCCCAGGGGCGAGACCAGAAGTAGGGAACGGGAGACGCCTGCAGTAAATGAGGGAAGAGCTGATGGTGGCCTGAGCCCAAGTGGTGCTGATGAAAATGAGGTGATGTCAGAACCTGGACATAGTTTCCAGGTGGAGCCAACAGCTTACCTCCGCCGTTTCTGTCGCCAGAGCTCTTGCTGCTCCACTCCCAGTTCTAGCTGCTTCCCCTTGCCCTCACCCCCTCCCCTCTGTTCTCCTTCCATACCCGTTGCGGCTCTGTGTCTCCCCTCCTGTCTCTGCCCGCTGCATCTGCCCTCACTCCCTGCCAGCCTTTGCTCATCACCGCCACCCTGGTCAGTGCCATTTCTTTTACTTTCTTGCCAGGAATGTTCTGACAGCATTCCAAGTAGGCTCTGTGCTTGGTGGCTCTCAAGTCTATCCTTGTAGATTGAACCACTATGCCTTGTTCCTCCAAAAGCTCAGAGACCCACCGTGGCTCTCCGTTCCCTGTTAAAGAAAAATTCCAACTGCTTCGATCACCATTCTAGGTGCTCTGCAAACTTTCTCCAACCCACCCTGAGCCCCACTGCCCACTACCTGATACATGGCCAGCTCACCTGAAGTTTCTTAGGACTTCTGCAGACTCCCATCTCTGTTCCTGCCGTTTGCTGTGTTGGAGGTTTCCTTTCCACATCTCTGTCATGGCGCCTCTTTCCATCTTCGTGCCATATCTCAAGCTTCTAGAGGTGGCCCGAGTTATCTTCTGTGAGCCCCTCTAGACTTGGATTTGTGTAGTTTTGGGATACTTCTCACACTCACGATTGTGTTTTCCCTAGTTGCACTAGTCGTGTGTGGATCTTACTACCTCTACCATGGTATGGTTTCTTGGAGGGCAGGGACCTTGTTTTATTCTTAGTTAATCCCCAGTGGTGCCTGACGTACTGTATGATAGAGAGGAGTCGCTCGAGGTGTTCAGGGGCAAGTAATGTTGGGTGGAGCCGAAATAGGAAGCTGTGTTCCCACCACAGGGAGTAGCCAAGAATTCAGCCCTCAGGTAAGGAAATGACTGCGTGTGGCTCCCTCACGAAAGTCCTAGGAGCCTTTCTCCATCCACTTCAGAAGGCAGTGGATACAGGGACGAGTGAAGCTTAGTCTCCGGGATGGTGAGACCCTGGGATCATCTCACCCAGGGCCTCAGGCCCTAATGTGGAACATGGGCACAGGGAGGCAGGGGGCTGGTAAAAGGCAAGCCTGGGACTGCAGTCCTGACTCCAAGTTCAAGTCTTGTCTGCCCCTAGGCTGGGCCTGTTTGATTTATGGGAAAGAGGCAGAGAGAAGTCACGTCTCTGCCCTCTTCCTAGATAACGTTTGATAGTAAAAGAAAGTGGAAAAAAAAAAATCAAATACCATAGGACATAGGGAGGGGGAAGGTTTTTCCATTGTATTGGAATTTTATTGGGTAGGGTTGGAATGACTTCCTTAGTGTCCTCTGGCTCATTGGAGCTTACTTGTATTATGCCCCGAAGTTCATTAAACTAAATTTTAATGGACTTAAACGACAGGTTCTCCCTTCCACAGTTACTATTTTGTTGGTGTTTAACTCTGTTGTGGTCACATGAGTGATCACATTCCTCCTGGTTTACAAGTCTCTGGTATGAACTGTGCCACTTAATACATTTTAGTGTCATTACTTCACCGATCAAATTCTTTTGTCCCAACTGTGATATTTCCACTCACTCGTGGAAGGGAAAGAAGCTTTTTATGTATAGAAAAAAAAAAAAGAATAAGAGAATTAAAATGGCACTCTTCAAACTTGAGGTGTGGAAATGGTGTTCTCTGTTTTGCATGCTGGTCTTTACCCCAGTGTGACAGACCCCTGCTCCTCTGTCATGCTGTGCTACTACTCTCAGAGTGATCTGGGGGCCAGGATCCTGCCAGTCCTGCTTCGTATGTGAAAAAAATGACTCAATTTTGTGATAGAAGCAAACAGCCGGCAGAGGAATAGCCTGCAATCGATGGAATTTCCGTGTGGCAAAAAATGCTCCGTGTACAGATGGAGTTTAACTTGTAAAATGTGATTTGGACATCAAATTGTGAGCTGCTTTGGGGGATAGGGTTATAAAAGGTTTTAAATGTCTTTTGTGCACTTTAATATAATTTCCTTATTTTTTACAATGATCCTGGTTTTTTCATCAAAAAATATAAAACTACGATGAAGAAAAATTTTTAACTTCTCAGTGTTAATATTATGACATTTTTAACAAGCTATTTGAGTGCTTGTGTGTAGTTGTGTGTGAAGAGGGAGGGATCTAGAAAGCAATCAACTGGTAAGAAAAAGTTCATGAGAAGATGGGCTTGTGCCATTATTTATCATTTTTTGCTTCCACCATAAAAATAAAAATCGGGTGCTTCTCTACTGGCAGGTATCGCAAAGGATTTGAGCTCCAGTCATCTCTGTATTCGGGAATTAACCTGGCAATTTTGCTGATAGTTGCGGGACAGCAATTTGAAACTTCCATCGAACTAAGGAAAATAGGTAGTTATTTTTTTTTAATTTTTTAATGTTTTATTATTGAGAGACCGAGATAGAGCATAAGCGGGGGGGGGGCGCAGAGAAAGGGGGAGACACAGAATCTGAAGGAGGCTCCAGGCTCCGAGCTGTCAGCATGGAGCTCGACATGGGGCTCGAACTCACAAACCACGAGATCATGACCTGAGCTGAGGTCAGACACTTAACCGACTGAGCCACCCAGGCGCCCTGTAAGTAAAGTTATTTTTGATCTCAGATGTTGATGTGCTTTGGTAACACAAATTCAGCATTAAAAATTATCTTCAAATAATTAGCCTTTTTGGTTCGAAAGGAACAGTTACTCTCTGATAGCGTGGCTGAGATGGTAGCCAACATAAGATGCATGCTTTTTCCTCTAAAGTCTTGCATGATATGATGGAAACTAGAAATAATTGTCATAACTTGATCTAAATTTCAAATTCTTAAGGTGTCCGGCTAAACAGTTTGTTGGGAAGAAAAGGGAGCCTGGAGAAAATGAACAATTACTGGGACGTGGGTCAGTTCTTCAATGTCAGCATGTTGGCCAACGATGTCGGGAAGGCCGTCCAGGCAGCAGAGAGGTTGTTCAAACTGAAACCGCCAGTCTGGTGAGTCATGTCCGTGTGTGGCCATCACGTCTCTCAATATCTGATCTTGTTCTCAAGGGTTTTCTCCAGGGAGGAGTGGGGTGAATGCAAAAGACAGTAACAATTGCTGTGTTTCTCCCTCTGACGTCTTCATTAAAGCAAAGTTAGGGCAGAAAGAACAGCTCCGAATGCTCACTTGGTTTTATGTGACGGGAGGGAAGGACAGACAGACAGGCACATACATGCGCAGAATACGTCTCTACGCACTCTGTCTCCAAGAGGACACTCTCATTCTTACTGATTTCTTCAGGTCGTCATCTTGGTCCTCAAGAACAAAACCTAGTCGTGAGAAAGCAGGTGGTAAAGCTAAAAGCCCACCCAGAAAGTGATCAGCATCCCACATGAAAAGTAGAACTAAACAACCAAGATGTGATCAAGAAAATAGTGGCAAAGCAGTGGCCCTAGCTTAGCCCATCTTAGCCATGAAAATGGCAGGAAAGAACGCTAGGAGGCATGGGCGTGTGTTCACGGTTTATCATAGAATAAGAAAAGCGAATTGAGGCTATAGTTCCTCTCAGTGGTTCTCAGACTTCTGCATGTATCAGAATCAGCTGTGTTGATTACCACGCAGACAGCTGGGCCCGCCTAGGGTATCTGGTTCCAAAGGTCTAAGGTGGGGCCTGAGAATTTGCATTTACAAATGACAGTCTGATGCTGCTGGTCTGGGGAACCACACTTTGAGAACCACTGTTCTCTGTGGTCTTTTAAGTAATCTGTGTTTCGTATGGGACTCAGAGCAACATCTGTGAGAGGTGGGCAATAGTTGACTTGCCCATAGACATGAAGCTCCATAGAGTCGTCATTATGTCGGGGCGCCTGGGGGGCTCAGTTGGTTAATCATCCGACTTTGGCTTACATCATGATCTCATGATCCATGAGTTTGAGCCCTGCGTCAGGCTCTGTGCTGACAGCTCAGAGCCTGGAGCCAGCTTCAGATTCTGTGTCTCCCTCTCTGTCTCTGCACCTCTCCAGCTCAAGCTCGGTCTCTCTCTGTCTCTCAAAAATAAATGTTTAAAAAAATTAAATAAAAAAGAATCGTCATTATGTCATTGACTCCTGTGGTCTCAAAGTAGATGCTTGTTAGATACTTGTGTAATTAATAAATGTATGATGGATTTTCCCTTGAAATATCAACAGCAGCAATCTCGGGGAGCCTTATAAGAAGTTTTTAATGTGTTTTCCCTTATCTCTTTTTCTGATTTGTCTAAAATGCATTTGGATTACACACATAATTTAAAATTTTTTACTTCTTTTAAAGTTTATTTCTGAGACAGAGAGAGAGAGAGAGAGAGAGAGAGACAGTGTGAGCAGGGGAGGGTCAGAGAGAGAGGGAGACACAGAATCTGAAACAGGCTCCAGGCTCTGAGCTGTCAGCACAGAGCCCGATGCGGGGCTCAAACCCACGAACCATGAGATCATGACCTGAGCTGAAGTTGGATGCCTAAGCGAAAATTTTTTACTTTTAATGATCCATGTTCTTCTGCCCTGTTATTTCCCAGCTCACTGGGCCAATCTGGACTCGCAGGTGTCGGAATCTCTTCAGATATTTTTAGTTGGACCTTACTTCTTCCCAGTCTGAAGGACCTAAATTTGATCCCCAAACTGTATCACCCTCTTGAAATTTTTCTGAGGCTGAGCCAGTAGGGAGTCAGGCGGAGTTTCCAGCCTTCCTGGAGTGGCTGCTGCTTCCAGAATTCTACTTTTAAGGCACTTTGCTGCACCCGAGCTAGACAGAGCTGACTCGAGGGAGGCGACAGCCAAGCCTTGAATATGTTCTAATTACATTAGCACCTACACCGACTTACAGCGTTGCGACCTGATTTTGTAGGTCCGACACCACCCTGAGGTTTGTGATTCGCGAGAAGAACTCACAGAAATCAGAAAAGCTGTCGTACTCATGACTGAGGTTTATTACAGTAAAATTACACAGATTGAAATCAGCAAAGGCAAAAAGCACATAGGACAGAGTCCAGGAGGGAGGAGGTATAGGCTTCTAGTTGTCCTTGCCCAGTGGAGTGGCAGGGACAGTGCTTGCTTCTCCTAGCAACACTGTATGGTGACATGCACGAAGTACTGACGGCCAGAGTAGCTCACCAGGTCTTGGTGTCCAGGGTTTTATGGGGGGGTCAGTCATGTAGGCATGACGCACCCATGTAGTTGACCTTAGTCACTGAGTCCCCAGCCTCTGTAGAGATGGCGCTGACACAGCATGGCCCAAGGCCCCAGGTCAACAAAAACACCCTTCCCAGGCTCGATGTCCCAAGGGCTTAGAGGTGATGTCCCAGAAGCCAGTCCAGGGCCAGAGCTTTGTTTGGACTGTGTAGAGTTTGCAGGACCCAGGCCTACAGAATCAGTCCTTCACTGTATCGTACCCGAGCAAGTCAGAGTCGGGCCGATGTGCCTTCCCGGCACAGCTCCAGACTTTATCCTCAAAGAGCGAAAAAATATCCCAGTGCTTTCAGCTGAGCCATCCCCGCTCACCACCTGTGACGACCGGACCACCCACCACTGTCCAACAGCTGTGTGTCAAAAACTTCAATTGGCCTGAAGCCCGTAAAGAGGTGGGGAGGTTGCAGACCTCATAACTTCAAAACCTACCTGGTCAGATCTAGTAAAAAAAAAAATAATATGATGAGTTTCACATTTGCGATTGTCTGGGTCCAAGGAGGAGACGAGAAGGATGGGAGGAGACTGGCATGTCTATAGAAGGGAAACGAGGGACCCTTGTGACAGTGAACATGCTTTCTATCTTAACTGTATCCGTGTTGATATTCTGCTCGCGATATCGTTAGAATTTTATAAGCTGTCATCATTGGTGTAAACCGGGCCAAGGGTACATTTACAACTATACGCAAATCTACAACTACCTGAAAATAAAAAGTTTAATTTAAAAGACTGAGTTTGAAATTTTGTCATTTTGCAATTGCTTTGGATGTCAAACTCCATGCTTTTGTTATTAAGACAGTTCTTAGCAAATGGTTGCCAGTGTCTACACTTTGAATACCATTAGCCCAGTGTTGGTAAAAAGCCATATTGTATGATTTTGTTGGACAAACTTATTTTGCCCACTGTTTGGGCTTTTAATTAAGTGTGTGGCTGCCAAATGATTAAGAAGTACTCACTACACACTGTGAATTTAAGTGAATTAAGCTTTTGGGGAACCTCTTTTAAAGGGAGTAGAATTGAATTCCATTTCTTGAAGGATCTAATTTATTGGTGCTTGTGATTTTGCCAGGTACCTCCGATCATTAGTTCAGAACTTGTTATTAATTCAGCGCTTCAGGAAACCCATTATTGAACATTCACCCAGGCAAGAACGGCTTAACTTCTGGTTAGATATAATATTTGAGGCAACAAATGAAGTTACCAATGGACTCAGATTTCCAGTAAGTCATGCTAAATCCATTTCTTTCAGATAGAGCCAAAGAAACTGGGGATTGGTGCTATCTAATTATTGAATGCTCTGAAAGGTCAAAAACCTTAGAGCAATGGAAAATGTTAAGATATCCCTCCGTCTTTGGTAGAGTCAGCCAGTGATAGATCGGCTCACTAGAAAACGTTGGCTGTGCCCTCTAAAATAGTGGTTCTCAACCGAGAATCATTTTGTCTCCCAGGGGACAGTCGGCACTATCTGGGGACGTTTTTGGTCGTCACAACCACGTGGTAGGTGTTGCTACTGGCACCCAGCGGAGTGAAGGCCAGGGGTGCCGCCAGACATCCCACAGTGCATAGGACATCCCCTCCTCCAACCCAGAATTGTCTAGCCCCAAATCTCAGCAGTGCCAAGGTGGAGAAGCCCCATTCCAAATCAGTGCAAGACTGATGGTGAAAGTTTGGAATTGGACGCGGTTTCCTCTTGAGCTTTGGTCTGCCTCCAGTGCCACTAATCAGTGTTTAAAATGTTACTGGAAAGCAGAATGGCTGTTAGCTGTTCATTAAGTTTCTGTTTCAATTTAAGACCATCTTATAAGGAGTAGTAAGTAAGATAGGTAAGCATCCTAGATATTGAACTTCACATAATTGTATTTCGTATTTATGCCATGAAATTTTGTGAACATGGCTGTGTTCGGGAATTTCATTAAAGTGCTAATAGAGATTAAGTTGTTTGAAATGATTATGATAATTTTGTTCTTGGGTAATAAGTTGTAAAACCTTCTTTTAATCATGAAATATTTCTACCCTATTGAAATGTACAAAAAAAAAAATAACAGAAAAGACACTTGTGTAGTCTCTACCCAGATTTAGGGATCTTAATTAGGTTGCTTTATTTGCTTTGGGAATCCATTCTCTCTTCCCCCTCCCCCTCCCTCTCTCCTGTCTCCCCATCTCTGCCCTCTCCTCCCCTCCCTCTCCCCCAGCAATAAAGCGTTACTAATGGAATGTCCCCTCACTTTTCGTCCCCTTGGGTTGTTCATTGACTTGGGCACCTACCTGCAGATCATCCAGTTTGCTTCGTTTCTCTCAAAAGCTGTAGCCTCCCTGTTTCTTTTCTGCCATCTTCTTGGGGAAGCCTTTCTCGGCCACCCCGTCTAAAGTGCTTCCGCCGCCTTTATTCTGTCGTGCTTGCTTCAGAGCTGTATAGGTGACCGTGTTCCACGCCCCTGCGTATTTGTTTCTTATGTGCCCCATCAGAGCATAGACCCCTCCCTCGCCATGGGGAGGGGACTCCGGTCGTGATCACGGTATTCCCGGGGCCCTAGAGCAGTACTGGCACACAGCAGGTCCTCGAGTGTGTGTGGAGTGCGGCGCTTCCCACTTGCTCCCTGGGCGGAGTGACCCGTCTGGGATGTTCCTGTGTGTCATGGAAATCTCTTCTTTCAGGTGCTGGTGATCGAACCAACCAAAGTGTACCAGCCTTCGTATGTCTCTATAAACAGTGAGGCCGAGGAGAAGACCGTTTCCCTGTGGCATGTCTCACCCACAGAAATGGTAAGAAGAAACCCTACGTGGCTGTCTCTTGCTTCTGTGCTATTTCTTCAGAAATTTGGTGTTCAAATAGGAGAGTCCTTGAAAGAAAAGGCCCCTGTGCCTAACTGGTAAGATTTGGGAGTGCGAGAGGGAATAATCACAGCTAGGGAGGGGACGCTGCGTTTTCCGCGGTACATGTATTTATATGTGCGTACACGTGTGTGGGTAGGAATGGGTGTATATTTATGCAAATGAGTATGGGCTTGTTGAACAAAGAAGTTACACGAGGAGGAAGTGGATAAGGAGTGATGGGAAAGTCCCTTCAGATCCCCCAGACCTTGTCCCCATTCCCATCCCCAGTGACTGGATGGATATGCATCTGTATAGCTCTCTGAACTGCCTTGTGTAAGTGTGTGTATACATGCATATATTTTTTGTTTTAATTTTTTTGATTTTTTTTTTTTTTTTTGAAACGAAGCATGAGCTGGGGAGGGACAGAAAGAGAGGGAGACAGGAACCGAAGCGGGCTCTGCACTGACAGCAGAGAGTCCGATGTGGGGCTCGAACTCACAAGCCGTGAGAGCATGACGTGAGCCAAAGTCAGAAGCTTAGCCAACTGAGCCACCTAGGCGTCCGTATACGTGCATACGTTTTATGTATATGTGTGCTTGTATATTTATATTTACACACAGAGAGAGAGAGGGAGGGAGGAGTATTTTCATTAAAGCGAGATCATACAGTATATATTATTTTGCAACTTACTCTTTTTTAACTGATTCATACATCATAGATAGTATTTCCGTATAGCACACAATGGTCCCCCTGATGTTGTTAAATGTAATACTCCCCATGTTCCCGTTTCATGGGGGTCCATTTCTGAGCACGCATGCACCATGGAGTGCTTTCCTGCTCTTCTGCAGTGCGCCTTCCGGCCTCACCGGTGCACTCGAGCTGATGGTAGACATGTCGGTACCCACCCTGGCGGTTTCAGCCTGCCAGTCTTGTACGTGATTCGAGGCGCAGATTTAAAGACCACATATGTTTGAAATGTGAGAGCTACTGGCAGATTTGCCCCATTTCAATTTATATTCATGCCAGTGATACAGGAGAGGGGATATTTCACTTGCCCACTAAAGAGAGCACAGAAATGCGGGGCCAGGCCTGATGTTTTGTGGTAGTCGCTGTATTTTTGTCTCTGTGCGTCTAAAGTACTTCTTCAGTTCTTTTCTCGAATGAAATATTTTTAGTTCTTGAAAAGATCTAGCACCTTTGACAAGTGCATTCATTATGTGGGTCTGTTCGCCATGGATAGGTTTTCTCGGAGTGTGGGGAGACTTCTGCCATTGATGGATGAGGCCAAGAGGGGATTTTTCTCCTGGAAATAAGAGCGTGAGCAATTAGGTCTTCATCAGGGAAAAATAAACAGTATCCTCAAAAATGAAATGCAACACGGGAGAGTAAGCGGAGGCTCAAAACCATCTAAGGAATTCCTCATCAGAAATAGTCATGACACGTGACCTCGTGGCACAAGATAGCGCGGCTGACTCCAGAAATAGTCATGACACAGCACCTCCCCGTTGTTCAGCGGGTATGAAGGCCGCCTTCTGGTACCGTGAGTGTTTGAGTATGTCCAAACTCCTCCAGTTATGCGCATTAAATATGTGCACTTCTTTGTCTATTATTATACCTCAATACAGATGTATAAAAAAAGGAACGGACGCGAAATCTCGAGTTGCCCCAGTACCGTCGAGTGGCTGTAGCAGCACACCATTGGCTGGGGGCCTAAAAAACATTGACTTCTCCTAGTTCTGAGGGCTGGGAGTCCGAGGGCAGGGTGCCTGCGTGGTCCGGTTCTGGTGAAGGCCCTCTTCTGGGTGTGTTCTCAGATGGTGAAGAGGTGTGGCCCTTGCGTCTCCTTAAATAAGAGCACTCCCCCCATCACGAGGCCTCCACCCTCCTGACCTCCCCAAGGTCCCTCACTCCGCCGGTCAGGGCTTCACCAGCTGATTTGCGGAGAGACACGCATTCAGTCCATCACACAAGTGTGAGCCGCTACCTTGTCTAAGATTTAACGGCGTAGCGACGTTCTCATTCGTCAGTCAGCAGCCGTCAGGGGACTTGAGCGGCCCTGATGTGCTCGGGGTTGTTGGTTTCTTTGTTTTGCTCCACTGTGTGTATTAATTTAAATATCTCATTGCCAAAGAAAGCCACAATAAAATCTCTACCTGGTGTTCAAACAGCTAGATGTCCTTTGAAGAATGCAGATGTTTTCTATTCAATTTGCCTCTTTGGTTGTTTTTAACCTTTTCTTGAAGTCTAACGTACACACTGCAAAGTGCATCAGTCATACATGTAGTTTGATGGATTTTTGCCAAGTGAACACACCTAAGTAGCCGGTGCGGCCAAGGAAGGGAACGTCAGCAGACCCCCCCCCCCAGCCCCAAAGCCTTGCTCATGCCTCCTCTGTGCCCCCATTCCTGTTCCCACCTCCATGAAGCACCCCGCTTTCGATGTTGGAGTTCTTGTACTAGATACAGGCCTTGCTTATTTGCTTCGGGTCATGGACACCACTGTGATATGAGAGGGTTTTCAAAATTCTCATCTGTGACCTCACTATTCCACTGATGCACGTGCAAAACACCTCCTATTTTGACAAGTACTTGGAGTAAAAAACCATTGCTATCCAAGTGACTCCCCAGGCTTTTAGAGCCAAATGTTTTTGGTCTCCTGGAATTCTACACATTTTGCCCCTTTTATTTAGATCCTATAATGGTTGCTGGCCCTCAATGGAAATTTCCACGGGTGCATATAATACCCGTCTCCCTAGTTGTAAATGTTTTACTTTGTATACAGTCCATAACAAGAAGTGGAAAAGAACTATATAAGCAGCAAATGCTAGTTTTCCCTGACTGATGAAATGTTTTGCACAAGTGCTTGCGGTTGTCGGAACAAACGTCTGAGGGAAATATAAATTGCCTTTTTTTTCTTTGGGAGGAAGCTTTTGCTTTTGCCTTCATTTGCATTTTTGAAATTCTGCCGATTGGAAAAGCCAGCAGATTCGCCTGGAGTGAGGGTGACATTTCTCCACGGTGCTACATTTCATCCTGGTGGGCCGCGCGCGGTGTCGTGAGATCACGGCCGCGCTCGGTGTCGTGTCGCACGCAGCCATACTGCACCGCTGTGAACGAGACTCGGTTCTGGGTTGTTAGCCAAGCAGTCAGAAGCTTCTGGTAAACGTTGAACAAGCAACTCTCCAGGGGACATGGGAGCAGAGGGCTGAGTCGTGGTGGTTGGCGATTTCTGTGGTGTAACTACTCCCACCCGTGGCCAGTTTCGAGCAGTGTCCAGTGGGTCTGCAAACGTGGGCTTGGGAGGAGCACAGTTGGCCTTCCCGGGCCAGCAGTGGTGGCACCCAGGGCGACAGTGCAAGTAGGCTGCCCAGAGTGGGGACACATGCAGCGCTGCCGCCCCCTAGCACCTCTCGTGGCCCGGAGTCACCACCAGGCGCACAGTAGCCGCCAGCGCTGACCACACAGGCAGGGCTGCTGGTTGAGGAAAGCTCTGTCTTTGTCGTCATCGTCGTGTCCACCTTTTATGCTTATGTAAGCTAGCCACAGGACCGACTCGTCAAAAGTCTACAAAATTGTCACAGATGCCCAGGGTTCCTCCTCCAGAGGTCTGCCTTCTGGGACCAGGAGGGCAGGTGCTGATGCGCCCGGGGTGGGGCAACCCCGAGGCCTGTCCCCACCTCTGGCGGCCTGGCTCGTTTCTCCAGAGCCCACCCTGGGTCTTGCCCCTGGATGCTCTTACTGGGAGCTTCTGACCCTGACGTGGAAAGCTGCAGTCTTGAGTCCATTTCCCCATGATTTAGATGTGCTGAAACCCCCTCTCAGAAAGGCTGAGGACGCTGCTGAACAGCAGGCTCGGGATGAGAGGAAACCTCCCCTGCGTGCGTGCTGGAGTGAGCACTCTGTGCCAGGTGACCCGCCGGGACACAGGGGCAGAGACCTGGCAGCCACCCTGACCTCCACTACCAGATGCTTCGTGAGAAACCCCACTTGCGCACACAAGAGAGTGCAGGCTTCACGATTCCGTTTACATAATGTTCCAGAACAGGCGCAGCTCCCATGGTGGCACCACTTGCTGTGTCCACCCTTGGATGACTGAGGGTGGGGGGTTATGAGCAAAGTTTCTGGGCTGCTGCTCATGTTCTGTCTCTTGATTGATTTTTAGAGCGTGAGAGAGTGCGTATGTGTGTGGGAGGAGCAGGGGGCGGGGGAGCGAGAGAGAGAGAGACAGAAAGAGAAAGAGAGAAAATGTATCCTAAGCAGGTTTCACACACAGCGTGGAACCCGACAGCGGGTGTGATGCGATCCCATGATCCTGGGAACATGACCTGAGCTGAAATACAGAGTCGGATGCTCAACCTACCGAGCCACCTGTCTCTTGATTTAGATGCCAGTTACAGCAACGACTCATTTTGTGGAAATGGACCTCAATAACCGTGCCTTTTTCTGAATGTATGGTGTATTTCAATTCAGAAGTTTCATAATAATTTTAAAACACCTGTACTGGCCCAAACCATTACTGGATCCCATGGCTTTCCAGATGAAAACACACACCCTCTTACTGAGTGTCAGACCCCTGTATAATCCCGCCCTCTCATTGTCCCCTGAGCTGGTCCCACAGGGGTCACACGTGCACTTCCATCATCCTTACTCCGTGGAATTCCAGTGATCCCTGTCCTAACTTCGCCCAGGCCACTCTAACCACCCTCCCGCCCCGTCCACTGAACGCAGGCCACCTTCTTGCCTGTATCGTGGCCACAGGATTTCCCATTGCTCATTGATCAGTTTTTGAGAATGTCTCCCCACGTGCTGTGCACGCCCATGCATGACTTATAGCTTTTATATCCATAGTGTCTACAAAGCGGGCGCCCCCAGGTGCCCATTGGTTAGGATATGAAGGGAGAGAAGTGCGTCGTTTACTTCTTAACCAGCAAATCTTCCTCCCAAATCAAGAAGCTTCATAAAGCTACCTAGAGTAAACCTCCCCGCTGGGAATACTTTGAAAACTCCTGTGGCTGAGCTTTTTTTTTTTTTTTTTTAATGTTTTTGTTTGAGATAAAACCAGTGGGGGAGGGGCAGAGAGATGGGGACAGAGAATCTGAAGCGGGCTGTGCACTGACAGCAGCGAGCCTGATGCGGGGCTTGAACTCACGAACCGTGAGATGATGACTGGAGCTGAAGTCAGACACTCATCCACCTGAGCCACACGGGTGCCCCTGTGGCTGAGCTTTTTATGTCCATGCAGCCTCTTGCAGGTAGAGGTGAGTTGGACAAGGCACTCTTGAATCTGTCCTGGTTGATATTTCTGTACCTGAATCCAAAGGCAGGCTCTTGCTCTCCATCCCTGCCTTCTTTCAGTGACTTTGAATGGAAGTTCTCTGAAATATGCCCAGTCTTTCTACATGGTTCGGTCCAATGTGCTAGGTTTCATGTTAGCATATGCTTTCATCTTTCACAGCCCTCAGTGGTTCCCATCTTCGAGAGAGTAGAAGTTGAGGTCCTGATGATGGCCGCCTAGGCCCTGCCTGATCTCCCTTGTGAGCTCTCCAGCCTCCTCACCCACTCCCCTCAGTCCCTCGCTCCAGACACGCTCCCTTCTTGGCTGGTCCCCAAACATGCCAATACATGCTGCCTCAGGACCTTTGCACTTGCTGTGCCCTCTACCTGGGACTGTTCCCTCCCCCCACCCCCGCCCCAGATATCCACATGGGTCAGTCCTTCACCTGCTTTAGCCTTCTGCTCAAACATCATCAGAGACACCTTCCTGGAACACCCAGTTTAACGTCATGACTCCCGCCCCACCTTGATGTCCTTCCCACCTCTGTTTGGCGTTGTGATGCTTTTCATCCTGTCACGCTATGAGGTTACTACTTTATTGTTCCTCTCTCCTCACTTGAACGTGAGCTCCCTGAGGGCAGGGGCTTTGTTCTCTTTTATGTCCTCCGTGCTTGCCCAGCACATAGTAGATGCTTAATCAACACACGTGAACGGATCTTCTCCCATTGAGGGCCATCCTTCTGGTTGTTCCTATTGTCGTTCCTCCAGGAAGGCAGGAAACTGGCCACCCTGCTGCTCATGGCTTTCTCCTAAGCCGTATGCTTAGTCATGGGGCTCTCACACTTCTCTTAGGGGCTTAGCTGGTCATTTATGACATTGTTTAGGCCAATCGAATGTATTTTCTTATTTTAAATGATTATCTATTGTTGTGATGTATTGGTATCGTAGCCTGTGGCTCTTCTGAAAAAGATTTCTTCTGAGGCTTAGCTTTGTGCAAAGTTTATTAAGTGTAAGGAATGGCGGTGGAGGGAGGGAACAGAGTTATTTTCAAAAAATCTATCATGTACAGATTGAAATCCCAGTTAGGCTTTGTGTTAGTTATGATAAGCTGTCTGTTGAAACAGATAGCCCCCAAATATCAGTGTCTTCACATGATAAAGGCTTATCTGTGCCTGTGTCCCATCCAGGTTGGCAGAGTCCCAGGTCCCTGTTGTAGTCGAAAAGAGAGTGGCTGGGGAGGTTTTTATGTGCCTGGCCCGCAGCGGGTGCCCATCATTCCTCCTTACACCCCACTGGTCAGACCTCCATCATGTGGCCCCTCCTAGCTGCAGGGGAGGCTGGGAAATCTATTCCAGCTGTGTGCCCAGGGAGCAAAAGAAAGATTGGAAAACACCGATTGGAGTCTGCCATGTTCTTGCTTCTGCAAACATTTTCACAGGTCGCTCAACTTCGGTGGGCTGTCCCCAAACTCATCTTCAAGTTTCCCTGGTGTGTCGACAGAAGATGAAAGTCCGTTCAGTGTGTACTTACTCTGTGCTTACACTGTTTCAAAGTTAGATCATTTGCTCCAAACTGGATTAGAGATGGGAATGAATTTTTAGGACACCTTAGAAAGTGTTTCAGGTCTTCCAAGTTACATAAAATATATTGCTCTAACTTGTAAATCTCTATTGAAAGTAAATTAGCAGAAGTGACCAGAGAATGAAACCCCCAAAATTTTTTTGCATGGAAAAAAATCAAGCTCTACTGACTTTTGTCTTTAAAACCTACAGAAACAAATTCATGAATGGAATTTTACAGCTTCTTCCATTAGGGGAATAAGGTAAGAATGAACATAAGGGAAAATGGAATTACTGTTTGAATACAAGTAATAATGACCGTGTTTTATTACTTTAACGTTTCCACCTATTTATAATACGTGATATTCTCATTTTTAACAGAATCCAAAATAAACCATTAGCTCTTTTGTAACCCTGCCTAACAAACTCACACTCTCCTGTGTCAAACTTTTCTTTAAAAGTGAAGTTGTATCTCTAGAGAGAGAAGGTGGTTCTTCTTTAAATCATTGATGTTCACGTGCTTAGGAAAACCCAGAAACCTAGAAATGAATGACCAAGGAGGAGTTACTTGGTAATGACACTTGGTTGGAGTCTCCTAACAGAGTCACGGAGCCAAGGGCATTGTGATTATCAGCTGGGGGAGAAGTGGTGTAGTCCGTGGAGAGGTGTGGTGCTTGTTCTTTGGATCAGAGGTGGTGACCATTTGGGGACCCTCGTGGCTGCACTCTGAGCAGCCCAACCAAGGGGAGGAATGGCTCTGAAGGAGATGTGAGTTCTAATCCCTCTTTCACTCTATGACCTTGGCAAAGTCACGTAACCTCTCTAGCACTCCGCTTCTTCATAGTGTCTATTAAATGAAGGGCTCAGAGTATAAGCGTATGTCCTTTCTCTGATTGTAAGACCACAGGCCACTGAATGAGTCCCCTGTTACCCCCGGACATGGTATGATCCTGTCCCAGACATATCACTATTTAAATCAGAATGTTTTTGTCCCTTTAAAGGGAGGGGAAATAATTTAAGAACAGGGTAGTGTATTTGAGTAATGCTGCTCCAAAAATAAAATTCCGAAGTGTCAAACATTTTGAAATACTTAGTTCTCCAGAAACTAAGTGGTATGACAACATACACGTAAGAACTTTTTGTTTGTGCCTTCTCATGGAGATACTTCTTGCTGCCCTTCAGTCATCAACAAGGATGTGCAAAGGGCCTGGGGTGAGAATCAGACCCTGGAACCAAGGTGATATAAAGAACATGTGTTGAACATTCCCAGTGCTACCCAACTAACTGTGGTAGTTCCTTCACAAATTGGTTTCCAAAACGTATGTGTATAACCTAGTTTCAATTATTTTTAAATCTCCCTGTGCTCTTGCTGTTTCAACTCCATATTTGTCACGTAATCCCTGAACAGGAAGAATGGCTAAAGAAACTATGGATCTCAGAAAGCGATGACTTAGGGCAAGATAAAGTGGCATCGTTTGAAGAGAATTTAGGCTTTTCCATAGTGCCCTCTGGCAAAATGAGGGCCATTGTGTAGGCTTTGGCCCAGTGTAGGTATAGAACTTTCTTAGCAGTGAAATCCATCAGTAGATGGAGTCTGGGGATTTTCTGTCACTGGGTATGTCCAGGAAAGCTGAATGTCGACTCAGGCACTATGGAGTTGGATCCCAACCTAAGATGGAAACGGACCAGAAAACATTTAACGCCTTTCTTGAGTTAAGATGCCCTGTTTATTTCTCCCTCCCTTGTGTGGCCACACATACTCTGTCCTGATAGTTTTCAAGTCTAGAACTTCCTTTGATACCATAATACATTATTTCACAAATAAGCTTTCTGTCTTTTGTGTGAAATTATCAACTCTTGAGACCAGAGATCATAGGTATTTCCCTCTCTTGCTGCTCTGTGCCCTGCTTAGCCCTGCATATATATTAAGTTCTCAAGGATACAAAGCAAACAGGCAAGACAAATGTCTCTGCTATTTAAATTTCATAGAGAAATAGAAGTCAAATTTGGAGGGTATCTGTTAAAACATTAATGAATCTTTCAAATTTGCAAAATGGAAGAAAATCTATGACTAGATTTTTCTCAAAAATGTAAAAGGGGTATTGTAACCTACATATAATAAGTGTTCTTCTGTTTTTCCAATTTTACAGCATATCCAAGTTTGATGAACGGTGTTGTTTTCTTTATGTCCATGATAATTCTGATGACTTTCAAATCTACTTCTCCACTGAAGACCAGTGTAGTAGGTGAGTTACGGTGGATTCAAGTGTTGGCAAACTAATTACGGCAATTCAGTTGTTTGTTGGTTGGTTTTTGTTTTGTTTTTTGTTTTTTTTTTAGGGAGAGAAATTGTGAGCAGGGTGGGGGGCAGTGAGAGAAGCAGAGAGAGAATCTTAAGCAGGCTGCACGCCCAGAGGGGAGCCCGATGTGGGGCTCGATCTCATGACTCTGAGATCATGATCTGAGCCAAAATCAAGAGTCGGATGCTTAACTGAGCCACCCAGGTGCCCATATGGCAGTTTTAAAGGGTCTTTGCTGTGAAAAATATTTGCCTTTCCTGAAATTTTAACTTTAAAAAAAGCTACTTTTACAGCTTCAATGAGGTTTGAATCACATACCGTGCAGTCCGCCCACTGAAAGTGTGCAACTGAGTCTTTTTTTTTTTAGTATATTCCCAGTTTTGCAACCATCAACACATTCTAATTTTAGAATATTTTCCTGACCCCCAAAAGAATCCCAGTGTCCATTAACAGTTACTCCCCATTTTCCTTTGCCCTAACCCCCCCCCCGCCCTTGCCTTGTGCAAGAACGAATCTACTTTCTGTCTCTCTTGATTTGCCTTTTCTTGACATTTCAAGTAAATAAAATCATGTAACATGTGGTCTTTTGTGTCTGACATTTTTTACTTATAATGTTCCCAAGATTCGTCTGTGTTATAGCTTCTGTGGGTACTTCATTCTCTTTGTGGCTGATCACTGTCCCATTGTATGGCTATATTTGATTTATCTATTCATTTGAAAGGCATTTGGGCTGTTTCCTCTTGTTGGCTATTACGAATATTGCTTCTGTGAACCTTAACATGCAAGTTTTTGTGTGGACCTGTGTTTTCATTTCTCTTGGAGCTAAATTACTGGGTCTTACATAACTCTGTGTTTCACCTTGGGGAACTGCCAGACTGTTTTCCCATTTGACATTGTCATCAGCAATGTATGAAGATTCTAGATTCTCTACATCCTGCTACACTTGTCATCGTCTGTCCTGCTGATTATGGCCATCCTAGTGGGCATTACATGGAATCTGATTGTGGTTTGGTCTGTGTTTCCCTAATGACTGATGATAGCATCGTTTCATGAGTCATTACTGGCCATTTGTATATCTTCTTTGGAGAACTTTCTGCTCAGATCCTTCACCCAATTAAAAGAATGTTTTAAACTTTTTATTTGGGGGAAACATTCAGAGCTACAAGAAAGTTTCCGAAGGGGCACCTGGCTGGCTTAGTTGCTGGAGTATACGACTCTTACTGTTGGGATTATGAGTTCAAGCTCTACATTGGGTGCGGAGCTTTCTTTAAAAAATTTTCTTAAATTTTAAAAAAGAAAGTTTCAGAAAAACAGTACAAAGAATTTCCATATATGTTTCACCCTGGATTCTCCAGTGTTACCCCTTTACCACATTTGTTTTACATCCTCTCCATATGCACATGATTATTTTCGTTCTGAACCGCTAAGGAGTAACTCGTAGACCTAATGCTTGACCACCTCTCGCCACTGGAGCGCATATTTCCTGAAAACAACATTCACTTGTATAATCACAGCACAATTACCTAATGAGGAAATTAAGATTGATGTGGTTCTATAATCTACACACCTTACCCAAATTTTACTTACTGTCCAACTCCTGTCTTTCACAGCAAAATACAAGATGTTTTTCTCGGCTCCACAATCCAATCCAAGATCACGTTACATTTAATGGTCATATCTGTGTCACCCCTGTTTATCTTCATCAGTGTTTCCTTGTCTTTCTTGACTTAATGCTTTCAAAGAGTACAGGCAATGGGTCTTGGGTAGCCCTCCATTGGGCTTGGTTTGTTGCTTCCTCATGATTACATGGGCATCATGCATTTTGGGGAGGAACATCATGGAAGTATCTTTGTCAGTACAGTGTCTTGGTCTCGTTACTGGTGATCATAACTTGGCTTACCTGGTGAAAAGTGGTGTTTGCCAAGCTTTTCCCAACTGCCCATTTTTAAAAGAGGTCTTTGTATTTTTGTTAATGGTTTTAAGGATTCTTTATATGTTCTGGATACCAGTCCTTTATCAGATACGTGATTTGCAAATAACTTCCCCGCCCCCATCCTGTGGGTGGTTTTCCTCACTGCTGATGCTGTTCTCTGCAGCACAGACGTTCTTAATTTTGATGCAGTTTAATTTATGTTTGTTTTTTCTTTTGTCATTTTATGTTTGGTGTCACCTGAGGTTTTGTCTAACGCAAGGTTTTGAATGGTACTTGTTTTCTTCTAAGAGTTTTAGCTCTTATATTTAGGTCTCTGGTCAGTTTTGAGCTCACTTTTGTACATGGTGTGAAGTAGGGTGTCCAGCTTCATACTGTTGCGTGTGGATATGTGGTCGATCTAGCACATTTGTTGAACAGACTATTCTTTGACCCACTGCAGGGTCTTGGTATGCTCAGAAAATCAATTGACCAGGGTCACCTCGGTGGCTCAGTCAGTGAAGTGTTAGACTTCATGACCTCACGGTTCATGAGTTTGAGCCCCACATCAGGCTTTGTGCTGACAGCACGGAGCCTGCTTGGGATTCTCTCTCCTCCTCTCCCTGCCCCTCCCCTGCTTGTGCGCATGCTTGCTCACTTGCTCTCAAAACAAATAAAAGTTTTAAAAAAGAAAAGCAATTGACCATAACCATAAAAGTTGATTTCTGGACTTTAACTTCTATTCCACTGACTGGTATATCTGCGCTTAGGCCAGTACCACATTTTTCTCTTGCTGTAGCTTGGTATTAAGTTAGGAAATCAGGAAATATGAGTCCTCCCAACTTTGTTCTTGTTTTTAGTAATTGGTTTGGGTATTGTGGGTGCCTGCATTCCCATGTGCATTTTAGAATCACTTTGTCAATTTCTGCAAAAAAGGCAGCTATGATTTCGACAGGGATTGCAATGGATATGTAGACCCATTTGGGAAGTGTTGCCATTCGAATCGCATCATGATAAGCCTTCAGTTCACGAGCGTGCTGTATCTTTCCATTTGTTTAAGTCTTCAATTTCTTTTGACAGTTTTTTTTTGTAGTTTCAGTGTACAAGTTTTATACTTCTTTAGTTAAGCATATACCTAAATATTTTAATTTTTTTGATGCTATTGTAAATGGAGTTTTCTTAATTTTTCAGGGTGTTCATTGCTAGTATATAGAAACATACTTGCTGAACTTCTTTAGTAATTGTAGTATTTTTATTTTTAAGATTTTATTTTTTTACATTTTTTAAATGTTTATTTGTTCTGAAGGAGAGAGAGTGCGAGCAGGGGAGGGGAAGAGAGAAGGAGACAGAGGCTCCGAAGCAGGCTCCGGCTCTGAGCTGTCAGCACAGAGCCCGACGCGACGCTTGAACTTACAAAGCACGAAATCATGACCTGAGCCGAAATGAGACACTCAGCCACCTGAGCTACCGAGGCGCCCCTGAGATTTTATTTTTTAAATTATCTCTATACTCAGCATGGGGTTCAAACAACCCCAAGATCAAGAGTCACATGCTCTACCAACTGAGCCAGCCCGGCACCCCAGTTCTCATACTTCTTATTGAATTTCTTAAGATTCTCTGTATACAAGATTATGTCTGCTGCAGATGAAGATAGTTAAAATTCTCCTTTCCAACCTAGATTCCTTAATTTCTCTTCCTCATCTAATTGTCCGACCAGTACGCTGTTGAGTAGAAGTGGCAAGAGCAGCTGTCCTGTCTTGTTTCTGATCTTAGGAGGCAAGCATCCAGTCTTCCACCAGTAGCCATGGTGTTCCTGGCAGGTTTTTCTTTTTCTTTTTTTTTTCAGTTTATTTATTTATTTTGAGAGAGCGTGTGCGAGAGAATGAGGGGAGGGGCAGAGAGAGAGAGAGAGAGAGAGACAGAGAGAGAGAGAATCCCAAGAAGGCTCTGTGATGTCAGCACAGAACCTGATGCGGGGCTCAAACCCGCGAACCATGAGACCATGACATGAGCTGAAATCCAGAGTCAGACGCTTAACTGACTGAGCCACCCAGGCACTCCACATTTAAATAATTTTTAAATTGAGATGTAACCTACATAGAAGTGAAGTATCTAAAGCATTTAGGTGTATCAGCTCCCCAGAAGGTGCCTTGTGCCCCTTTCTAGTCGTTGACACCCCCTCGTGGTAATTTTGATTTCTGTCGCCAGCGGTTAGTTTTGCCTGTTCTTGACCTTCAAATAAGTAGAACCATGAAATATTTAGTCTTCCTCACTTATATCTTTGTAAATAAAATCCATTAGATTTAGCCATGATCTCTGTATCCTTTCATCCCTTTTATTGCTGTGTAGTATTGCTTTGTGTGAATATACGGTGACCTGTTCTAGTGGTAAACATTTAGATTGCTTCCAGTTTGATGCTCTTAGGAGTATAAATTACTGTAACCTTTCTTGTACGTGTCTTTTGGTGAACATACAGCCTGATTTCTGTTGAGTATATACCCAGAAGTGGGACTTACTGGGACACAGGGCGGGTGTATATTCAGCTTTGGTTGATGCTTTCCAAAATCGCTGCATCACTTCACATTTCACCAGCAGCGTGCGGGAATTGTGCGTGCTCCACATTCTTACCTACAAACGCTCATCTCTTTTATATTCCGTTATTCTGGTGAGTTCATATCACATGTCTCCTAATAAGTCTGACTATTGGTTTTCCCAGCTTTCAGAGATTAGAAGAAGCAAAGGTGGGATGGGCTAGTTACAGAAAATGACATTTTAACGTTTTGTGGAAATTGTCTTGAAGTGTACGGTACCCTTCCCTATGATCTTACGAGAAAATAATGAATAAAAATTTTGCGAGTCCAATCGCTTGCATGTAAATAAACAACTATGCAAATCTCAGAAGTGGCTGCTGTGGCCCAGCAGCATCTGTGAGAAGGACCTGTGGGTAATAATTGATACTAAGCTTAATCTGTGTGAAGAGAATGATGAGGCCATCTTACACATTCCTCCTCACCCCTCTCCTTAAGGCCTTATTTTTTACGAAGAACCGGAGTGTCTACAACTGGAGGGGTGATGACCCCACTATCCTTTGCGCTGATTAGATCACGTCTGGAACACTTGTCTTAGGGCCAGACTAGAAGAGTAATGCAGGGACACCTTTGAAGAATTACCTGTTAGTGGAGTCACTTCAAAACAAATCCTGGAGGAAACGTTGAGGGAACACGGAAGAAAGATTTACAGGGATTTAATAAAATTATGTACATTTCTTTAAAAACATTTTTTTAATGTTTGTTTATTTTTTGAGAGAGAGAGACAGCTTGAGCAGGGAGGGGGCAGAGAGAGGGAGACAAGAATCTGAAGCAGGCTCCAGGCTCTGAGCTGTCAGCACAGAGCCTGATGCAAGGCTCAAACTCACAAGCAGTGAGATCATGACCTGAGCTGAAGTCGGACACTTAACCAACTGAGCCACCCAGGTGCCCCTGTACCTTTCTAATGGGCTGTTACATAGAAAAGGGATTAATTCTAAGCAGTCTGGATGAGACCCATATAAAAGGAGTCTTAGCCCAATATACGTAAAACATTTCGCGTTGAGTTGTCCACAGAATATGCAAACTTGTGAGATAATGAGTTCTCTGTCACTGGAGATGTTCAGGCCTCGGTTGGCCAACCAGTTGGTGAGGCTGCTGTATAGAGGGGACTCAAGTATCATGTGGGTATTTGAACTAGATTAGAAAACCGTTGAGGTACTATGTTAAACCAAGGAGTAGATTGATCGTTGCGTGAACTTGTACAAACTTGCTTTATGTAATCACAGTTTAATGTAATAAGGCATCAGTGTTGATAAATAGCATCTTTGTGACGTTTGCTGTTCCAGGTTTTGCTCTTTGGTCAAAGAGATGATAAGCAACACAATGGGTAGTGCGCTGGAGCTAGAGGGCGAAACCGATGGGGACACCTTAGAGGTGAGTCACTGAAGACGTAGAACATGAAAAAAAATTTTTTTATTGTATCTTTGATGCTGCAAGGAAACATCCCATTCTTTTGTGTGCAAATTCTTCTTATTTAAAAATACCCTTTAATGAACGAGCTAGCCATCACTGTCTGTGACTTTCCGAGATTCAGTTGCATGTGTCTGGAGAAGAGCCTCATTACTTTGGGATCTTCTCAGCTGGAATAGCTAAGAAAAATTTGGCACTGACTAAAGTAAAATTTTCTTTTGTGTGCAACACAGGGATAAGTTTTTCTGTGCTAATGCATAATGTTTGTGAGACTCCAGGAGAAACAGTTGGCCAGCTCATCGTACCCGTTCATCTATGGGTGGACATTAGGTTGCTTCCATATCTTGGCTACGGTAAACACTACAGTAAACATAGGTGTGCGTAGATCTCTTTGAATTGGTGTTGTCATTTTCTTAGGGTAAATACCCAGCATTGGAATTGCTGGATCATGTGGTGGTTCTATTTTTACTTTTTTTTTTTTTTTAAGTTTATCTATTTTGAGAGAGAGAGAGAGAGAGAGCACGCGTGCACACAGGCAGGGGAGGGGCAGAGAGGAGAGACAGAATCCCAAGCAGGCTGCATGCCATCAGCTGCAGAGCCCGACGCAGGGCTTGAATTCACAACCCAGAAGATCATGACCTGAGCCAAGGTCAAGAGTCAGATGCTTAATTGACGGAGCCATCCAGGTGCCCCTGTGTTTTGAGGAGCCTCCATGCTGTTTTCCACAGTATCTGCACCAGTTTGCATTCCCACCAGTGCACAAGGGTTCCTTTTTTCCCCACATCCTTGCCGACACTTACTTCTTATCTTTTTGATGATTGCCAGTCTGACAGGCATGAGAACCCTAAGCTCTTTTGGGCAATACAGCTCTTGTCCACGGTTACTGCAGTGTTACACATGTGTTTAAATATTGCACAATTGTTCTGATTGGCCACTAATTCAGGTCCTCCTATTGGTTATAATTCAATGATATTTTACTGTCAAGTTAATTTGAAATTCATTCTTTGAGGTTTCTTTCAGAAATTATCAAAAGGGTTCATTTTAATCATTGATTCAGGTACTCGAATTCTTAGTTTAGAATCAAAGTTGGTTGTGAAAATGGACTGAGTGATGCACTTTGGGGGCCGAAAGCGGCGTGAGAGAAAAGGCTTTTATGGAGCAGGCTGACATCTGGTTAAGTCAGACCTGATGGGAATGTGTTAGTGACCTTACCTGTCATGAGCATCTTTGCGAGTATGTGGGAAGGAACCCACAAGCGTTCTGTGCCCTTCTGTAAGTATGCACAGCGCATCGCAGGAGGTAATGGGAGCAAGTATGGCTCAGCCTAGAGATATGTTGGTTTTAATTATCGAAAAGAACCAACTAGAATGCAGCTGTACAACAGCTTTTGATCAAGAGATTGGGGGCACAGAATAGCAGTGGCACTTAGAGGTGGAACGTGTGCGGTATGTTTGATGGTAGGTCTGTTCCTCTAAAAGGCAGAGGGTCCTGCCTGCGTGCTTTGTATTAAGACCATTTTGACTTGATTGACCTTCAGTTCTTCTTTGGGCTCTAGAATGGGACTGGTTTCCTGAGAAGCTAATGGGGGCTCGTGCAGGAAGCGCGCCTGCTTGGGGTACTTGGCATGCTTAGTGGGGCAGAGTCTCCAAACACTGAGCCCGCAAAGTTACCTATGAGCCATAGTTTTTAACTTCTTGGATTCCATTTCATAAAATCATATTGTGAATATATGAGTAACTGAGAACTCTACCCTTTTAAAGTCATTACGTAGTGAAAATTACGTAACCTAAGGAACGTGACCTGCCTGGGACTCACATAACGTTGTTTATAAATTACAAATTGCGGGATGGTGTTTGGGTTTTTATGGGGCTCCGCCTTAAGTTGTGTGTTTTTGGTCTTGTTGCTCTGCCTTTTTCAGTATGAGTATGACCACAATGCCAAAGGCGACAGGGTCGTGCTGGGGAAAGGCACGTATGGGATCGTGTATGCCGGAAGAGACCTGAGCAACCAAGTGCGAATAGCCATCAAGGAAATCCCAGAGAAAGACAGCAGGCAAGTCGGGGCGGGCCATCCTCGTTGTCATTTGCCACCCGCACACCCAGACCCTGTGCCCGCCACCGCTGGCGCGGGGGGGGGGGGGGGACACTGAAGAACAAAGTCAGCGTGTCATCAAAAAATTTAACGTTCTCTTGCAGTAACGGTGATTTGCTTTTGTTCTTTGCATATTATAAATAGATGGAGAAAATGGAGTAACTTGGAGGCATGTGGAATGCCAAGGGGTCTATCATAAAACAAAACTGTGGTTTTATTTCCACTTGTCAACTAGCTCTGAAATTTTACATCTTTATGTAGACAGACATTGGCACAGTTTTAAAATGTGGCTCTGCTTTAATTCACATTGTCATAATTGTAAATGGCTGTTATTTATTCAGATGCATCATTATGGAAAATTAAACATGGCAAAAAGAAAATTACTTTTTGCAATACAGACTCTTTTTAATACCCTGCCCTTGAATCTCACCCTGAAAGATTTGAGGCTATTTTTTTTAAACCGCCACAACTACTAACATATTTCTAAAATGTTGTTTAGAGTCTAATTAAATATTTATGCCTTTTTTAAATTCACACCCGCCCCCCAATTCTAAACAAGAATGTTACAGTGTTGACTGTCGAGTGTTTTTGTGGAGGAGCTTCATACACAGTAATGGCCTCCACATAAGAAAGAAGAGCCCCGTGAGCCACAGGTGTGGTCACGTGACATGTGTGTGTTGCTTTCCTAGCTGGACACTGAGGGACACGTCAAACATCCCTCCATCCTGGTGGTCACAGAATCATTAGGGATGGGTCATAAGTGCTTTCTAGCAACTCTAAGACCCTTCATCATTCATTTGTTCGTTTATTCACACATCGATTCATCTGTCCTCTCAGTCGTCTTGGGACTCCATGTTCTCATATTTGCGTTAAAAGGGCAGTCCTGAAACGAACGCCTCTAGCTTCTTCTAAGGCCAAGGAGGACCAAATGACTTCTCCCAGCATGTGAGGAATCAAAACTAGGATCTCCTGTCTCAAATTCCTTGTCCAGTGCTCGCTCTCTCTCAGGGCCATGCTGGATAAGGGACTGTAGTTGTGTCGCAGGGAAATTGCCGGCACGTGCCACCTCCTTTGACTGGTCACAGCATTAACCTTTTCATTGATGATAGTTTTTCCTGGGATTTTAGAGCTAGAAGGGATCTTAGACACTGTTTTTGTCCCATTCCCTAAATTTATAGTGGAACTTAGGTTGTCGACCCTTGCCTGGGGGTAAAAGCAGCAAGTGCCATCATAGAGGGCCGTGCAGAATGTTTGTAGAATAGAAGAGGAATCGATTGCTTTTCCTGGGTGAATTGTGGTCTGTGAGGGCTATCTGGCAGGAAGGAGGAAGCCCTGAGCATTCTAGGCTGAGGGAAGAACAGAGCTGTCAAGCACAGAGTGTGTTCAGAGAACAACAAATTACCTGTTGTGACTTGAATGTATAATGTGGGTGGAGGGCTCTCGAGATGAGGCAGAAATTTTAAAAGATGTAGTCTGACTTGAGTTTGAATTCCTCATGTGCCATGTCAAGCAATACGGTTTTTATGTGGATTTCGTGAAGAGAAGTGTATGCATTTGGTGAAGATGAGGTATGCATTTTAGGAAGAGAAAATATGGTAACCAGAGGTGAATAGACTAAAGAAGTCAGATACCGGGTTAGGAGGTCCACTCGGTAGCTGTTGCTCTAGTGTAAAGTGAGTCTGTGGAATGAGACTAGAGCGCAGCTGAGGAGAGAACCTTCTGGAATGCCACCACTCTTCATGAGAGACAGAGGAAGAGGATCTGCTCAGAGAGGCAACGGGTAGTTGGAGAGTGTAGACCCTAACAATGGCAGTCATTCATTGAATACCTACCATACACCATCACCTGGCACTCCCTTGGGTGCCTGAGAAACTTGACACCATGCTGGCCTTGAGCAGCTCTGTGCGCCTGGTATTACGGGAAGCCGGGTACGCTCATAGGAGCCAAGGGAGAGAACATATGAAGAAAGAAGGATTGGCCAGGAGCATGACACGGTACCATGCGGACCCCAAGCCCCAAGGATCTGGCAGATGATGCTGACTTTGTCTTTCTTACTAGGTACTCACAGCCACTGCATGAGGAGATAGCCCTGCATAAGTACCTCAAGCACCGCAATATCGTTCAGTACCTGGGCTCGGTCTCGGAGGACGGCTACATTAAGATATTTATGGAGCAAGTGCCTGGAGGTGAGTCATCACTAGGATTCTGGTCTCAGGCTCTGAAAATCATTGATGGAAATACAGTATGAACATCATTATCCATCTTACCACTTAAAAAGTGGCAGACCCATCATTTAGATGTGGGAGAACATTTGTTTCTCCGAGGAGTTGGAGACAAACTTTCCAGTGTCACATAAATAGTCTAGTACTGCTTTAATTCAAGCATCAAATATTAATTGAGGATCTACTGAGTGCCAGGCTCTGAACTGAGTGCCGGAGACAGATGAATTAAAGTGTAGTCTCCAGCCTTAACCTTTCACAGTCTGGGGGTTTAAAGATGGTTTGGAGAAGAGAGGACAGAGGTCTTAAAAATGACACTGCAGAGTAACATGTTTACTGTGAAATCAGACACCCATGCTTTATCCACAGAATCCCCCAAATGCAGGCACCATCGTGTGGAGGGAGCGTTCCTCTGATCCGAAGTCCAGAGTGTCTCGTTTGAATTGGTCCCTCCGTCTGCAGGCTGTGTGACCTCAGGCAAATTCTTCACCTCCATGCTGCCCCCCTCAGTCTTCTGACTGAATAAATGAACTGTAAAGTCAGAGTCATAGAAGCATCTAGGGGGCTCAGTGAGTTAATCGTCAGTGTCAGCTCAGGTCATGATCTCATGGTTCATGGGTCTGAGCCCCGCTTCAGGCCCTGTGCTGAAAGTATGGAGCCTGCTTAGGATTCCCTCTTCTATTCTCTTCCTCCCTCCCTCTCTCTCTCTCAAAAATAAATAAAAGTTAAAAAAAAAAATAGACTGCATTTAAAAAATAAAGTCAATAATAATAATTACCATAACGATTGGAGTGGTAATAATTATTGGAGCAATAATGACCCTAGCTCAGTGGGATGTTGGATGGATTAAATGAGATACTGTGTATAAAGCTATTAAAATGGGGCCTGGCAGAGAGCGAGAACTCAGTAAGTGTGCATTTAAAAAAAAAAAAGAATTGGGGCGCTTGGGTGGCTCAGTTGAGCATCTGACTCTTGATTTCAGCTCAGGTCATGACCCCAGGGTCGTGGGATAAAGCCCCATGTCAGACTCTGTGCTCTGAGTGTGGAGCCTGCTTAAGATATTCTCTCTCTGTCTCTCTCCTTCCCTCCCTCTCCCCATCCGCCTCCCTCTTTGCCCCTCTCCCCCATTTGCATATTCTCTCTTGCTCTCAAAAGTAAAAAAAAAAAAAAATGATAATTATTATCTGAATATAAACACTAAAACTTCAGTTAGAAATCTGTATTCGGCCATTTAACCAGAGTTATTAAGAGCCTACTATTACATGAAGAGCCTAAGTGTGTATGTTAAGAGCCAGGCAGTGGGCTAGATTTTGAAAGTTACAATAAGGATAAAATAGTTTGTTCTTCCCTCAGGTTTCTCACAGTCTAGCAGAAAACATGTCATTGCTGGTCACATTATTTGATATTCCAAGGGCGAGGTTTAAGGATGAGAGGGGAATTGTAGACGGATGTGTGCACATCCCCTTTTACAGGTGGACAAACTGAGGCACGTGGCAAGGTTCCTATAGCACTGTGGAAGGTTTCAGGCCGGCTGGTGCCTTCAGGCCTGCATGATAACCGCTGAACCAGATTCTCAGAATTGTTTTCCTTGGGCCCAGAGGTTCAGTGTTGAGTATAATTGCGGTGGGGGTGGGGGAATGTTAGGACATTTCTGCTCCCGTGACCTGGCCCTGAGGGCTCCTCCCAGCGGGCATGGACAGCCCCGGCCTCCTCTGATCCCCGGCCCTGTCTCCCCAAATGGCCCCTCCTTCTGGTCCTGTCCACCTGTGATTTCCCGGCAAGGTGTACACTGTGGCTCTGACCCAGGCTGAAGGGCCAGACGCTCACGCGGGATCTCCGGCGGGGGCGGCCCTCCCACGTCTGGAGTGCTTGCTGCGCTCTCCTCCCGACCTCATGCAGCCTAACAGAGCCGCACCCAAGGGAGCCCCGCTGAGTCTCGGAGGTCACAGGGTGTCCCTGCTCACCCTTCATCTCGGTCCCGTCTCTGGCTGCGCTGCCCGCACAGCTGGAAAACAGGCAGCGGAGGGAGGAAAGACGCGGCACTTCGCCGGGGCGCGGTGTGACTGCTTCTGCGAGGTTAGAAACGTCACCGCTCCAGGCACCGGGGCGGCTCAGTCGGCTCAAGTCCAACTCTTGATTTCCGCTCAGGTCATGATCTCACGGTTCGTGCATTCGAGCCTCACGTCCGCTCTGCGCTGACAGTGCAGAGGCCGCTTGGGATTCTCTCTCCCCTGCGCGCACGCGCGCTCTCTCTCTCTCTCTCTCAAAATAAACAGACATTTTTAAAAAACGCATCACCTCACTTTATTTCCTTAACTCTTGTGATTGAATCTTCCTCAGACTGATGACTTTTGTGCTGTGTCCATTTCCAGGAAGCCTTTCTGCTCTTCTGCGATCAAAATGGGGGCCAATGAGGGAGCCCACCATCAAGTTTTACACCAAGCAAATCCTGGAAGGCCTCAAGTATCTCCACGAAAACCAGATTGTGCACAGAGACATCAAGGTACTTGCTCGTCTGAGGCAGCGAGGTTTCCTTTGTGCGTCTCGGACCACATGAGCTGCTGGCTGGCAGTGTCGGTGGACCGACCAGCTCAAAGAAGGGGACGCGTTGAGCACGATGGCCCTCACAGTGCCAAGTCTAGTCTTGCTAGATACTTGTGACCATTTCTTAGGGTACACATCTGTTTCAGGTCACCTTGTTTAAAATCTGCCCTTCAGCAGTTGGTATTTTTTCTTTTCTGAAGGGCGATAATGTTCTGGTGAATACCTACAGTGGCGTGGTGAAAATCTCGGATTTTGGAACCTCCAAGCGTCTTGCAGGAGTGAATCCGTGCACCGAGACTTTCACAGGTAAGCAGGACAGGGCTTGGTGCGGGCGGCCGTCCTGGAGGCGAGGTTACCAAGCGCCACAGCAATCGAAGTGGATGGCGTGTTGTCCCCAACTTCAGATGGTTTGAGCTTTGTCACCGTGGTGCAGCACTATTGCCACAGCTGTCTTCGTTGTCTTCCGAGGTTGGGTAGGTGTGGAGCTCTGCTTGAGGCTTCCCGAGGGTTTCTGAGCACTCAGCAAAGTAGCAGCGGGTCTTCTAAGTTAAGGTCATGGGCACTTATGAATCACACTAACCCTAAGGCAACCAACTCGTTAGGGTGTTTTCCTGGTGTGTCCTAAAAACTAACCTGTCACCTTCTGAGTTCTGGTACCTTCTGGTACCTGGCGCTTTGATGTGGTTCTGTTTCCAAGGGAAGATAATTGTTCTGGGGAACATGGTCTTGGAAGTGGCTTTGAGGAGTTGGATTTTCTTTGCCCATGTGTCAGGGATGGAATCATGTAACTGTTTAGAGGGACTGGATTCCAAGCGTGGTATAAAATTAGCTGCTAGCTTTCCATTTAGAAGACCGGGGAGTTGAATGAGGTTCAAAAGCTACCTGTGGCTTTTTGAAATTCCTGCTTAAAAGGAATTGATCCCTGGAAAGAAGTACTGATTTTGAATAAGGAGAGGTTTATGGTCCCCTAAGGTGTAATAAAAGTATCACAAAGATCTTGCTTTGGAATTAAGAAGCAGGGCTTAGAATATTATGGCTCTGCTCGCCGTCCGCAGAGCACTGAGCTGTGGAGTGGACAGATTTGGCCTTGGTCTTAGTGAATAGTGTCGCTTTGCTTCAACAAGAGGGTATTGTATGTCAGTCGCTAGACGCCCACGGTGGAGACACACTCCTGTCTAAAGAGAACTTTTATTTGTCAGAAATGGCATCTCACTGGTAACACCAGAGGAGATACACGCATCTCACAGTGGGAAAATATTACGCCAAGGACTCCACCAGAATCTCCCAAAGAAAAAATGTGTTGAACTTCCATTTATTGTTTCTGATAAAAATATACGTGCATTGACATGTATCTGCGAGTACGTATGTATGAGTGGCACGTTTATTACCCTAATTGAAAATGACTTCTGTCCTCCTCTGTGGAAGCCACCAATTAGCGTGGCAATATGTAGCAAGAGGGTCTCTGATATGACAAGGAGTTATTTCAAAACAGAAAACCCCTGACAATTTATCTCGTAATTAGCATCCCCAAGGAGAAGAAAAATTCACAAAGAAAATGCATGTATAATTCATTATTGCATATCACATTTTCCCAAGTAATTGACTTCAGGAGGCATGAATTTTGCATTGCAAAATAATGCCGGGGTGTTTGGGGGATAATAAAGAAGGGGTATCATTTTGGGTAGGAAATGCCCCTGCATATCATTACTCTTCGCAACACAAAGTGGTTCTGTAAAGAGGTCTCAGCCGGTTGGTGCAGAGTCCTGCTTGGAAGCCTGAGGAGGTGGCGTGGCTTTTCCAGGCGGATGCCCGGAAGCCATCAGAGCCTGGAAAGGGGTTGAGAGGCTCAAGCAACTTCTGGGGCTGAAACCTCCCCTCCCGTGTTCTTCTCCAGGGTTTTCACTGTAGGTATAACCCAGCTAGAACGGGAGGAAGAGCCATTAGGTCCCAACCGACTCAGGCGCCCCCCCACCCCCCATTTTGGCTATTGTGAGTAACTCTGCTGTGAACAGTCACATGCAAGCCTTGGTGTAGATCTAAGCTTTCATTCATCTTGGGTAGATGCCTAGGAGTGGGTCCTGGGAAAGGAACTCTGTTCTGGTCTATGGCTCGGAACATCATTGGTTCAAATTCTGGCTCAACCGCTTACTAGCCGTGTGACTCTAGGCATGTTACTTAACCTCTCTGTGCCATAGTTTCTTAAGTAAAATGGAGATGTTCATAGTACCTAGATCAGAGGGTTTGTGTGAAGATTAAATGAGTTAATATTGGTGAGGTGCTTGGACCCAGTACCTGACTGTACAACTGAAGTATTTGTTAAACAAATAAATCAAATAAATACTAATTTGCACTTAGAAGATCCCAGGTTATCAGAGCTGGCAGGAGTCTTTGAGAGAATCAAGTTCCTGTGGGTAACAAACACGTTGAACCTGTCAGCCTCAGAGGGTGTAATCATAAAAGTCCCCTCCTCTCTCCTCCGCCCGGGTCAGCGGTCCTTTCCTGAGCTTTACCAGCCACCCTCAGACAAGTGAGAGCAAGTCTTAGTGACGCTTCGAGAAGCAGACAGTCTGAATTCGGTAATTAAAAGGGGCCACACCGTGGCATCCGGGTGGCTCAGTCGCTTAAGTGGTCACCTTTGGCTCAGGTCATGATCTCGTACTTTGTGAGTTCGAGCCCCACGTCGGGCTCTGTGCTGACGGCTCGGAGCCTGGAGCCTGCTTTGGATTCTGCGTCTCCCTCTCTCTCTGCCCCTCTCTCACTTGTGCTCTGTGTGTCTGGCTCTCAAAAATAGATAAACATTAAAAAAATGTGTTAAAGGGGCCACACTAATGTACTTGGCGACACTCTGGTCATCATTCCGGGGATAGCGCCCTCCCCCGTCCCTGCAGGACTGCCGGTGGGTGGCATGCAGTCCCCAAGTCTTGTCTCACCCGCCCCCCACCGCCCTGCCTGCTCCCCAGCTGTGGGAGGGGGAGGAGAGCGGCACAGCAAGCGGTCACTGGGCTGCTGCTGTTCTAACCTGGATCTGTGTACCCTGGGCCTGGCTTGTGGTGACCGGCCACGCTTTCCCGCCAGGCGCCTCGTAAGTCCCACGTCACGGGCAGGGGCCTGTCTTTTAGCTGACTGCCTCCTCCCCGCCCCCCTTTACCCCTCACATCGGACACAGTCCGCCAGGTTTTTCTCCTGAGGGGTCCAGGCCACGGGAGATGGCCTTTGAGCAGGATGCCTCTCACAGAGACCCTAAAGCAGTGTTGCTGCAGCGGCTCCCACATCTGCTGTCCAGGGTTCGTGAATCTTCCACCCACTGTCAAGAGGGCGTGGCCATGCCCCCGGACCCCGCAGGCCGCTGCCGTAAGCTGCTTTTGCTCCCACGGGAAGCAGTCCTGTGCGCAGCGTACTGGCGGGGGACACACGCCTATGGAGCCCTGCGTGGGCCCAACGACGAGCCCTCACACGAAGTGGTGTCCCCACCTACCAGGCCCGTCCTTGGGCGGGGCATCCAGGGAGGCACCGGAAGCCTCCCGTTTCTCTTTTCTGTGCTTCATTAATAGGAAATGTGGAAACTCTGGGCTCTAACAGTACTTTCCAGGGCCTGCAGAAAGCACTTATGCCTGCGCCCTCCTTTGAAGTGTGACATTCCTGAGTGAGTGTTGAGTTGCCTGAGTCGCCATTTAGGGCACAGCCCTTCCTGGGCTCCTGTAATGAGACGGCAGACCTTCCGGCAGAGCAGTGTCTGAAGACGTCACTTTCAACGTCCCCCACCACCAGTCTCTTCTCTCTTGATCTTTTTAATCCCTTGATCTGGGTGGAAGGCCCCTGGGCTAGGGGCCTGCGAGCTGTGTGGCCACTTGTATCAGACCCCCTTTGAAACGTGCACCTGTCGTCCATCTCTCACCCCTTGCCTTGGTGTCTGTCTTTTATCTTGGTACCACAATCGAAACTTCTAAATTACTGTCCCATGCCATGTGTTTTCTTTGCTGGTAATCTGAAAATCCTGGTTTTTCAGATTTCATGTCCCCCCCCCCCCCCGGTTTCATGTCCCCAGCGGTCTGGGTCAATGCCTGTGGGCCTCCTGTCCCTTGTCCTGAACTCTGCACCCCTGCACCGGTGTAGATACCTGAGAGTCATGTCTGGCTGATCACATGACCTGTGTGTGGGCACATCTTGGGGGACTTGCAGTTTTGAAAGGATAGGACACCCTTAAGAGAGCCAGATTGAAGGAAGCAAGTTTCTGAGATTTTCGCATTATTCAGATGCACCCCCAACCCCCGCCACCGGCATCGTTACTTGATTTCTTGGCAGAAACTGGTTTGGGGCAGCCGATCTACACCCACGACACGCACACTGCTTGGGGACCGTCCCTTGACTATCGGAAATCGTTGTGTGGCTCCGTCTCCACTGGATGTTTACTCTGGGTGGTTTTTCTATGGATATGGTAGTCAATAAAATGGAGCACGCAGTTCTCCATGATGGCCCTCCACCTTCCAGCTGTACGGGAACACGTCACAGTATGGCTTCGGAAATCCTTGCCTCAAGTCGACTTCTGTTCAGGCAGCGTTTGCTTCGGTTGTGCTTCTCCTGGATTCGTTGCATACATCGGCACTGCCGTGGTGAACAGTTCAAGTGTGGAGCCGGAGGACCTGAGTTCTAGCTTGAGCACATCCCCTACCTTCTCTGAGGCTCGCTTTCCTCATGTATAAAATGGGAATAACTGGGGCGCCTGGGTGGCTCAGTCAGTTAAGCATCTGACTTCAGCTCAGGTTGTGATCTTGCGGTTCGGGAGTTCGAGCCCCGCATCAGGCTCTTTGCCACCAGCCTGTTTCAGATTCTGTGTCTCCCTCTCTCTCTGCCCCTCCTCTGCTCATGTTCTGTCTCTCCCTGTCTCAAAAATAAATAAACAATAAAAAAATTTTTTTAAATAATAAAATGGGAATACCCGTAGATGGTGCCTCTCCCTGGCCTTCCCAGGTTGTGAGAGTCACAGAGACAGTGCTACGTGGAGTGGCTTTGTAAGCTGTCACCTACTATTGGGAAGTCAGGCATTGTGCCAGTGGCCTCCACCCCCTGGCATTCACAGCCTTGTGTAATCCCTCCCTTTGAATGTGGGCTGGACTCAATGACTCACTTCTCTCTTTTTTTAAAGTTTTTAATTTTGAGAGAGTGCACAAGCAGGGGAGGGACAGAGGAAGAGAGGGGGAGAGAGAAAATGCCAAGCAGTCTCCATCAGCACGGAGCCTGATATGGGGCTCAGTCTCACGAACCATGAGATCATGACCTGAGCCAAAATCAAGAGTTAGAGACTTAACCAACCCAGCCACCAAGGCACGCTGATTACTGACTCCCTTCTGATGGGCAGATGAAGGCAGAGTGGCAGTGTGTCACCTGGAGGCTAGGTCAGAGAGGACAGTGTGGCATCCCTCTTGCTTGCTCTCTTTGGATCCCTGGCTCTGGGGGGAAGCCATGTTTAGAGGATCCCATGTGGTGAAAAACTGAAGCTTCCTCCCAAAGCCCGCCTGAAGTTGGAAGTGGATTTCAGCTTCAGTCTGGGTCTTTGATGACTACAGCCCAGCAGATACCTTGGCTACAGTCTAATTAGAGATTCTGGGCCAGATCCACCCAACCCAGCTGCTCCCGGATTCCGACCCTTAGAAACTGGGACATCCTAACTCCTGTTTTAAGGTGCTAACATTTGGGCTGGTGTATTACATAGCAATAGACAGCTAATATGGATATCCTTGCTAAGTCCCTACCTTTACAAAGGGTGATGTTTACTTTGTTTCCATATAAAGAAAATCTCCAAACTTGGCATTAAGCAGGCTTAGCCTCCAGTTATGGAACAGTTGTGCTGAGGTGCACAGTTATTTGACCAGGGTCGATAAACCATTGCGGTTTGGTATAGTGCTGTTTTCTACGTCGCATGACATTGTAAAAGTTGATCCTCTTACTCTTTTAAGAATTAACTTTTAGTAATTGTGTTAATTGGGATCCAGGCAGGACAACCAAAATCACTCCAGTTATTTTTAAAGAGAGGATTTAGTAGAAAGAACGGTTTCCCGGGCCTGAGTTATCAGAAAGCAGCTTCTATTTCTAGGGCTTGCGGGGAGCACAAGGAAGGGTGGAATTTGAACCTTTCAGGAGGGTGTTACTGGAGTGGAGCAGGTAACTGGTGGTGGGGCAAGATGAAGCTGGTTCTGAAACTAGGAGGGGACAAAACAGCTAGAAACTGGAGCCAGGCACCGTTACTGGAACCAGCCGCCGAGGGTCCAAAGTGCGGCTCCCTCAGAGAACAGCAGCCGACATGGGGGAGCAAGTAACCTCTCCTGCCTCCTTCCTTGTAGGTAGGCCTGAGCACGCCGCCGTTGAGCTCCCGCACGCCCTTTCTGTAGCGCCCCCTAGTGGCAGAGTCTAACAGGAAGCTGCAGGCAAAGCACAAACGTGGTTCGCAAAGTCCCAGGCCCAGCATCATAGATCAGAGCTGAGAGCGACCAGCTGAGTTAATAAAAAGCACAAGTCTTTCCTCAGTTAACGGATTGTGGATTCCTTAGAAGGCACATCCTCTGTCAAGGCCTCTCCTTTCATTATTCACAGCAGCACAAGCCTGGGAGGGGAGGTTGTGTCACTGGAAGTTCCCTCCCTAGGGCTCTGGGATTTCCTAACCGTGCAGCAAGTGCTGTGAGCCTCTGCCTTGCCCAGCCCTGCAGCAGCCGAACACTTCACCAGCAGCCTTTAGGCTTTGGAGACCAAAACCATCATTTGTGCCCTACTGATCTTTTGAGCTCACAGGCCCAACCCAATGTATGTCTCACCTTAGTTTGATTTTGTTTTAATGTTTTGTTTTGTTTTGTTTTTTTTTTTGTTTTTAAGAGGGAAAGAGAGACACTGTGTGAGCAGGGGAGGGTCAGATAGAGAGGGAGACACAGAATCCGAAGAAGGTTCCAGGCTCTGAGCTAGCTGTCAGCCCAGATTATGACCTGGGGCTTGAATTCACGAGCCATGAGATCATGACCTGAGCTGAAGTCGGACGCTTAATCGACTGAGCCACCCGGGCACCCCTAATTACGCTGCATCTTTAAAAATTAAAAGGAAGTTCAATTTATATTTTCAGTCTCACCAGCCATGTTTCACGGGCCCAATAGTTACATGTGGCTAGTGGCTACCATAATGAACTGCACAGAAGACTTTCGTTATTGCAAAACACTCTATGGGTCGGTGCCTTTCAAATGCTCATTGGAAGGAAACATAGCAAAAGACATTGCATTTTCAAGAGGAGGATGTGGTCCATAGCTTCTCCGAATGTTTTTAAACCAGTGAGCCCTTTGGTTTCATTGAATAAGACTCTGGAAACCTGCTTTGGTTGTATGATCTTGAGATACACACTTGAATTTCTCTGGGCACCCGTGTTCTCTGTTCACACCTTGGCCGGTGTCCTCTGCAAGTTTGCTGTTGGTTAGAAACCACTTTGCCAGCACATAGTGTGTGGTACTGTTGCTTTCCTCAGCTTTGGTTTCAAGAAGAACTTATGATTTTACTCCCAGAGCCCTGATTGGCCGTCTCTGCAATGCTTTCTCCTCCCAGCACCGTATCTGAGCACCACCTTCGCTGTGGCGACCTGCGGCGGCTCATGACCCACAGAAGACAGTTGAGAGCCAGAGCCTTCATTGTATACCACTTGCCATTTGGGCTCGGCCCTGGCCACTGACTGCCTCCTTAAGTTTTAACTCGTAATTCCCTGCCCTAGCCCCCAGACTTTGCTGGCGGTTTCCCGAACTCTCTCTGTACTTCACACCTTTGCACGTTTGCTCAGGCTCTTCCCCGACCCTGGGAGTCTCCCCCCACCCCCCGTCCCACTGTCCACCCCTTCAACCTTCACGGTGGGAGACTGGGTCGCTGGGAGCCCCATCTGCCGCCTTCTCTGGCTCTGCCTCCGTGTTCATGGCAGGGTCCTTCTTTACCCTGCCTGCCCCTGGACAACGAATGAACGGCACGCCGGTGGGGTGCTGGAATAACGTGGAACTCCTCCAGGGGGCAGCTTTGGGTCAGGGACTCCCCAGTGGCCTGGCTGAAGCTGTCTCTGAGCTGTTCTTCTATCGGAGACATGGCTTGCCCACTTCTTCATTCCCTGTCCCCTTTCCCGGGTGTCCCGTTGGCACTGAGTTTGACAGTTCCCCTGCCCATCCTGCCCCCTCCCACGTTAGCCCACATATATTTCTCCCCAGTCAATCTCTCTCGGGTCTAATCCTGTCTTGGCGTTTACTCCTCAGAGAACCAAACGGATCCAGGTAAAACTTTTCCTGACTCGAAGCACTTTCGTCCGCGTTCTCAGAGCCCTCTGTTTTAGCACTTACTCCATTTTCCCCTTGCCCCGCCCCCACCGTTGTCCCATCACCGGTCTCCTCCACTCGGCAGCTCCTGAAGGTCAGGCGCTGTGTGTCTTACGTTCCGTGCTTCCCTGTGTGTGGTGCGCACTACTGTGCACTTCGTGGGTGGGGTTGGGGCCCACTTATCCCTCGAGGAGCTGAGCAATCTTCTCTCAGTCTGACTAGTATCAGAGGAAGGTATGTTGCGTGTCTCTGATCAGAGAAAGGACACAACCACACCATCTGTGCGTGACAGCAGACTCCATGGCATTAACAAGAGGCTTGGAGTTCACACGCTTGTTTCCTAATGGTCCACTTAGATTTTTGTGCAGTGTGGTGCCCACAGTCTTTATTTGTTTTCCCATAGGCACTCTGCAGTACATGGCACCTGAGATCATCGACCAAGGACCACGAGGGTACGGCGCCCCCGCTGATATCTGGTCCCTGGGCTGCACCATCATTGAGATGGCCACCAGCAGGCCTCCGTTCGATGAGCTCGGCGAGCCGCAGGCAGCCATGTTCAAAGTAAGACATGTTTGGTGATTGAAGTTGCCGCTGTCGGGAATTAGTAAGTACAAAGAAAATCTCCTGCTACTCCAGGAATCTCTCCACCGAGGCAGAAGAGAAAGAAAACCGTTTTATTGTTGAACAGGCATTAAATCAGAATGTGATGTGTGCCACAGGCAGGCCACTAAGTGACTGCAAAGGCAGAAAGAACGTGTCCTTTTCTCCAGCCAAGCACTACCACCCTCTCACCCATGGTCTCAAAGGAAACGATCACTGGTCCTCACGTGCATGGACAGGATGGCACCACTGGTCACAGCAGTGCATCCAAGGGTCACTCGGTAATTGGGATGACCATTTGCTTTGGCTAATTGATTTTACCCAAAGGAAGAATAAAAATCTCAAATATTTAAGATAGAAGGTAGTTTGGGAGTAAGACACTGCTGAAGTTAGGGCTCCTCCCCGCCACCCCCCCGCCCCCCAGAAACTGGGAGATAGAGGTGGATCTTACTTTTTTTAATTACTACTTTATTATTTAATTTACATCTAAGTTTGCATATGGTGCAACAATGATTTCAGGAGTAGATGCCTTCATGCCCCTTACCCATTTAGCCCATGCCCCTCCTATAACTCCTCCAGCAACCCTCTGTCTGTTCTCCATATTTAAGAGTCTCTTATGGTTTGTTCTCCTCCCTGTTTTTATATTATTTTTGCTTCCCTTCCCTTATGTTCATCTGATTTGTATCTTAAAGTATGTATATATATACACACACACACACACACCACCTCTTCTTTATCCATTCATCCACTGATAGACATTTGGGCTCTTTCCATACTTTGGCTATTATTGATAGTGCTGCTCTGTAAACATTGGGGTGCGTGTGTCCCTTTGAAAGAGCACACCTGTATTTCTTGGATAAATACCTAGTAGTGCAATTGCTGGGTCATAGGGTAGTTCTCTTTTTAATTTTTTGAGGAACCTCCATACTGTTTTCCAGAGTGGCTGCACCAGTTTGGCATTTCCACCAGCTGTGCAAAAGGGTTCCCCTTTCTCCACATCCTCACCAACATCTGTTGTTGCCTGAGTTGTTAATGTTAGCCATTCTGACGGGTGTGAGGTGGTATGTCATTGTAGTTTTGATTTGTCTTTCCCTGATGATGAGTGATGTTGAGCATTTTTTCATGTGTCTGTTGGCCATCTGGATGTCTTCTTTGGAGAAGTGTCTGGAGGTCTTCTTTGGAGAAGTGTCTACTCCTGTCTTTTGCCCGTTTCTTCACTGGATTATTTGTTTTTTGCATGTTGAGTTAGATAAATTCGCTATAGATTTTGGATACTAACCCTTTATCTGATATGTCGTCTGCAGATATCTTCTCCCATTTCGTCAGTTTTCGTTTTGCTGATTGTTTCCTTTGCTGTGCAGAAGGTTTTTATTTTGATGAGGTCCCTGTAGTTCATTTTAGCTTTGGTTTCACTTGCCTCTGGAGACGTGTGGAGTGAGAAGTTGCTGGGGCCAAGGTCAAAGAAGTTTTTGCCTGCTTTGTCCTTGAGGATTTTGATGCTTCCTGTCTTAACATTTAGGTCTTTCATCCATTTTGAGTTTATTTTTGTGTATGGTGTGAGAAAGTGGTCTAGGTTCATTCTTGTGCATGTCGCCATTCAGTTTTCCCAGCACCATTTGCTGAAGAGACTGTCTTTATTCCACTCTTCCACTGGATATTCTTTCCTGCTTTGTCAAAGATTAGTTGGCCATACGTTTGTTGGTCTATTCCTGGGTTCTCTATTCTGTTCCATTGATCTGAGGGTCTGTTTTTGTGCCAGTACCATTACTGTCTTAATGATTACAGCTTTGTAATACAGCTTGAAGTCCGGGATTGTGATGCCTACGGCTTTGGTTTTCTTTTTCAAGATTGCTTTTGGTTATTTGGGGTCTTTTCTGGTTCCATACGAATTTTAGGATTGATGCGAAGAATGCTGGTGTCATTTTGGTGTGTATTACATTGAATATGTAGATTACTTTGGCTAGTATTGACATTTTAACAATATTCTTCCTCTCCAGGAGCATGGAATATTTTTCCATTTTTGTCTGTCTTCCTCAGTTTCTTCCATTAGCTTTCTATAGTTTTCAGTGTATAGATTTTTCACCTCTTTGGTTATATTTATTCCTAGGTATTTTATGGGTTTTGGTGTAATTGTAAATGGGATCTATTCTTTGATTTCTCTTTCTGTTGCTTCATTATTGGTGTATAGGAAAGCAACTGATTTTTGATCTTATATCCTGCGACTTTGCTGAATTCATCAATCAGTTCTAGCAATTTTTCGGTGTCACCTTTTGGGTTTTCCATCTAGAGTATCACGTCGAGATGGATCCTTCTTGATGTTGACATTTCCAGGAGTTGGCTCCCAGGTCCTTGAGAGAGACATTCTTGGCAAGACTTACTCAGCTTTTAAAAAGAGTCACATGGCATCTCAAAGACCTCAAGAACTTGCAATGACAAATTTTCTAAAGTAAATGCTCTAATAAAACAGGGGCGGGGGGGGGCGGTCTCTTCCCTTATTTTCAACAGGGAGGCCTCTTATTTTGAGTCCGTATTTGCGCTTACACTGGGTGAGGCTCAAAGACCACATGGGTCTGTATCTTTGAAGGCTAGGTCTCTGACTGCTTTTGGAGAGGTGGGGCTTTGGGTAGCAGACAGTGTTTACTGTCATTCTAAAAGCCCTCCCAGAGCTCATGGGAAGGCCACTCCATGTGTCGAGGCCCATGTAAGACTGATGGGCCACAATGGTGGGGGGGGGGGGCGATGTTACCACCCGGCCCGCTGCCTTGGGAAGGGACGTACTTCCCACCCCACAGGAAGCTGATGGCAGGACAGCTGCATGCGGCTTGGCGCATTTTTGTTTGCCTGAAGCCTAAGAAGGAAGAGAGTGGGTTCACTGCTTCTGGATAGTGAAGTCCCAGGGCCTCAGAGCAGCCTGAGAGAATGTGCCTTGCTTCCTTCTTCTCTGGCCGCCCGTCGCCCTGCCCGCTTGCCGCCCGCATCTTTGCCAGACACTGCATCTCGGCCTCTTTGGTGGAACTAAAAGGCGCGAGGGCAGGTGTGTGCCTGCGAGCGGAGTGCGGGCTCCTCAGCAGACGGAGCGCTCTGCGCTGCGGGTGCTCCCCCAGCCTGGCCCCTGCGGCTCGCCGAGCTTTCCACCCTCCCAGCAGCTGTCAGGCAGCTCCACCGTCGGGACCTCAAGTCCCCAGGTGTCTTGTGGCACCCACAATCTCAACAAGCCCGGGCGCCAGGGCCAGAGGTCGGTGGTGACACCCCCCCCCCCCCTCCCCCAGCGTCTGTCCCTGCTGGAGCTGCTGCGGCTGCTGAAATTGTACCTGCGGCCTCAGTCGTAGGCCTCGGGCTAGACGCTGGCTTGTGCTGAGACGAACATCGGGGCCCGAGAGGTGATGATGTGGACGGACACTGAGGGCGCCACGCCAGGGCCAAGGTGAGGGCGATGTGTCTACAAGCCAGACAGTGCCGCAGCCACCCGAAGTTGGAAGGGGCAAGGACGGATTCTGTCTGTTTCAGAGGGAGTGTGGCCCTGTTGGCACCTTGATTTTAGACTCCCAGCGTCCACGCTGAGAGAGAATACATCTGCGTTGTTTTCCAGCCCCTGGGTGGCGGCACGCCGTGATGGCAGCCCAGGAGAGCTGCTGCAGGGACTTTCGGAGAGACCGCAGGGCACCTTTAGAAGTAACGTACCTGCAGGGCGCCAAGGCGCTGCCCACGCATGCTTTTTGCTTTCCGATGTCTTGCAGGGGAGGCCGCCCCTTTCTTCTTTGGGTTCTTGTACCGACTCTCTGTCTCTGGCCCCTTAGTGCCCTTCCTCCCTGCCGCTCAGGTGAGAGGTGCCACTGTAAGACGTCCCACGTTTCAAATCCTGGGGGTATATTCCATCCAGTGTTAAGTGTTCTCAAAAGCCAAAACTCGACTTCAAAACTTTTATCGTGGTGAGAACAGGTAACAGGAGCTCGACACCTCTCACATGTTTTGAGGGGCTGGCCGCGGCACTGCGGACTCTCGGTCCAGTGTTGTACAGCACAACTCTAGAACGTGTTCATGTTGGGTTGGGTTTGTTTTCTGTTTCTGTGGTTTTTTTTTTTTTTTTTAAGTTTTTAAACTTTATTTTTAAAGTATTTTTTTATTTGAGAGAATGCAATTGGGGGAGAGAGGCAGAGGGAGGGAGGGAGAGAATGAGCATATTAAGCAGGCTCCATGCTCATCGCGGAGCCCGATGGCAGGGGGCGCACCCCATGACCCTGGGATCGTGACCTGAGCCAAAATCAGGAGTCGGATGCTTGACTGACTGAGCCATCCAGGCGCCCCAAGATTTTTTTAAGTAATCTCTGCACCGAACGTGGGGCTTGAGTCGTGTGTTCTTCCATCTGAGCCAGCCACGTGCCCCAAGAATATATTCATCTTGCTTACCTTACGCCCTTTGATTAGGAACTCCATGCACCCCCACCCCCAAGCTGTTGAGCCTCCCCGCATATGGCCTCAGGGCTCTAAGAGGACCAGAACAGGAGCCCCAAGACCTCTAAGGCCTAGGCTCTGAGACTCCTCTGACTGTGCTTTTGCAACAACCTACTGGACAAAGCAAAGCCCCGAGGGGCCAGCCAGGCCGGTCACTGAGGATGCTCTAACCCACCAGCTCCTCGGAGGATAGCACGGGTAGGAGCTTTGTATGGAAGGCATGTACAGCTGGATGTGCCTCGGGCCTCACAGTCACATGAGTCACATAGGTCACCTCTCCCTTAAATGCAGGTGGGGATGTTTAAGATCCACCCTGAGATCCCAGAAGCCCTTTCAGCTGATGCCAGAGCCTTCATTTTATCCTGTTTTGAACCTGACCCCCACAAACGTGCCACTGCTGCCAAGCTGCTCACAGAGAGTTTCTTAAGGCAGGTGAACAAGGGCAAGAAGAACCGAATTGCTTTCAAGCCAGCAGGTGAGGTCTGCCTGGACAGGAGGGGTGCTGCCTGGGCCCGGTGGATGCCCAGGCTCCTCTGTCACTGAGAGTGCTGCTCTCCAGAGCACTGAGCCGCCTGTCACTGTGAAGAGTGGCAGGGATTGGTGCAGCGGGCGTGGGAGTTGTCACACCCAGCCAATGAATGTCTCTTGATTTCATGACGGACAGAGGGAGTCCCACAGGTGACAGCAGCACACCCCCTCTTCTTAAAGTCTTTCCTCTGAGATTGTGCCGAGAAGGGAGGCCAGAGGTGCCCTGCCTGGGGTTTGGGGTCTTCCATTCGTGCAGAGCCTGGCCTTTCCCCTGGGCTGCTCCTGACCTTGATTAAGGGGCGCAGCAGCTGTCCTACAGGTCACTGAGGCTAAGTGGCCCCTTCTAGGGCAGTGAGCCCTACCTGGCAATGACATAAAAGTGGCCTCTGGAAAGGAAACCGTTGGTTTGGCCTTTGCTGGTGTGGATGGAGTGGAAGCCAGAACAGAGATGCTCAGCATCTTGCTCGGGTGGGACTGGCTGTCAGCGTTTTCTGCAGGCTGCTTAGAGATGCAGTCTTGGGCCTCACACCTGCTGAAATCAGTCTACATTTCAGAGACCCCTAGGTGATGGACTGTGCTGCCCTGTTAGAGCAGCACAGACCTAGCAAGCCCCTGTGTGGGTCACCCGGCCTGAGGGGCTAAGGCTCCTCCTCCCCCCTCCCTGTCTGTCCCCCACACTGCAGGTACCCGGGGCATCACCCTGGCCCTGCCCATGTCTGGGGACCCCATGGGCAGCAGCAGCAGCAACCACGGTTCTGTCTCCCCGGACTCTGATGCGCATATGGATGCGTTCTTCGAGAAGGCCCGGGCACCCAAGCACCAGGTCCACCACCTGCTTAGGTACGGCCCACCCCCCCATCTTTATACTGTGGGCCTGTGAGGGGTACTCGCGTTCACCAGGAACCAAACCCCTCCCAGGTCAAAACCAAATGGCCGCCAAGCTTTTTGCACGGTTAGTAGGGCGGCCAACCGTGCAGGTGAAGAAGTCAGTGGGCAGCACGTTCACGGTGGTCACTCCCCCACCTTCCTGTTCCCTTTCCCTCCTCACTTCCCCTTCTCTCTCATTCCCTCTGCCTCTCCTCTCATCGTCCCCATTTTCTTTCCCTTTCGCCCCTTCTCCCAAAACTGGTGCTCTGGGAGTTAGTGAAACGCTGCATCTCTCTTCAGTCTGCCTGCCTCCTGCAGAGTGGGGACTGCAGAGGAGTCACCTCTTAGCCCCTCCCCTGCGGCGTCCCAGCCCAGAGACTTTGTTCTGGGACACGCAGGGAGTGTCACATGTGTTTGTCTGCAGTGTCCCAGATGAGAGCTCAGCCTCATCCCCGGAGGACAGGGACCCCGGCCTCTTCCTGCTGCGCAAGGACAGTGAGCGCCGCGCCATCCTGTACAAAATCCTCTGGGAGGAGCAGAACCAGGTGGCTTCCAACCTGCAGGAGTGTGTGGCCCAGGTAGGGCCGGGTGGGGGGGGCTGTCCATCCCGCCCCCTCTGCTTGGCCCCAGGTCCCGGAGCAGGTCCAGAAGGGACCGAGTCTCCTGCTGCCCTGTACCGTTTGTGCAGTTGCGATAATCACCATAAGTATTTCCCAATGCCCTTCCCTCTTCCAACAAGACAAAAGAAAATACAAAAAAAAAAAAACCAAAAAAAAAAAAAAAACTGGTGAAGCCCGAATTTGCGGCACACTGTGGTGAGCCCAGGCATGGAGTGGTGCTGCCACCTGGTGGAAAACAAGCCAAATGCAGCCCGAAGCTTAGGGACTCACAGCCTTCGCCCTGCATTTGTGCTAACCCTTCGTTTTGAACCCCTAGCTGCACATGGAGTTGCACTCAGAAGCTGGCAGCACGGCCACTTTAGGGAGAAAGGTTATGGATAAAAATATTTGCATTTTAACTTATTTTGGAAGCAGGAAGGTCTTTTTAGGAAAAGGCCACTTGCCCTGCTATGAACTGTGCCTTCTACCAGGGGCCAGAAGAGGGGGCAGCAGTTACAAGGGGTTCATCAGGAGAGCAGAAGCACCCAGAGGTGGGGGCACTGAGGAGAGGGGGCCACGTGATGAAGGATCTGGAGGGAATTCCACAAACAGACCCTTTCTCACCTGGGGGGGGGGTCCATATAATAAGTTTTCCCCTCCCTCTCTGACTTAATGAAAATTATTTGGGGGGGGGGTTGTGGTGATCAGAGTTCAGGAGACCTGCATCTCTCAGTCGGCCACATCAAGCAAATAATTGGGATCCTGAGGGACTTCATCCACTCCCCGGAGCACAGAGTGATGGCATCCACGATATCAAAGCTAAAGATGGACCTGGACTTTGACAGCTCGTCCATCAGTCAGATTCATCTGGTACTGTTTGGATTTCAGGATGCTGTAAGTGTTCCATCTGGCTCTAGAGAACGTGCTAGAAGCCAGGAAGCCCACTGAAGTGGCTCACAGCCAGGACCATGGAGTTCAGTTACCATCTTCTCCCGTAGTCCCCATCTCTTCTGGCTACACCTGAATCCCTAGTTTCAGCAGGTCATTCTAAACACAGACTATGTAAGTACAGGTGAAAGATGATTGCTTTTGGCCACTAAGAGCAGGAGTCTAGGACTTCGAGCACTTGGGAACAAGTGGCATCTGCCAGCTGAGTAGGTACGAGGTTTAGGCTTCTGTGTCTGTGCAGACACATGTGAGTTGCTCCAGGCCTGAGACTCTATCTGGTCCAGCTTTATGTCCCACGTCCCCAGGGCAGAGCCCGACTTTTCATGGGTGCACAAAAATAACTCTTTGAGTAAACAGCAAGGAGCCAGGGGCCGGAGACCCGGTCCCTGCACCCGCCCCGAAGACCCAGCCTGACTCAGGGTCAGCCTGGAGGAGGGCCCAGTCTGGGAGAAGCACAGGTCAGGTAGAGATGCAGAGCAGCACGGCTAAATTTTATCTCCGAGTAGAAGTAAACCAGAATTCGTTAGAACCCCGGTTTCTTAAAAGCACAACAGACCAGAAATCTGGATTTTTGTGGTTTATAGGTAAATAAAGTTTTGAGGAACCATTTAATCAGGCCCCACTGGATGTTTGCCATGGACAACATCATCCGTCGAGCGGTGCAGGCTGCAGTCACCATTCTCATCCCAGGTGAGCGTGCTGCCTTTCCAGTCCGGGTCGGGCCCAGACCCCCGCGCACTCTGCGCTCAGCAGTGGTTTTCTCCTTCCCGTCTGGGTGGTTTACTTCTCTGCGATTCTGTAAATGCTAACAACTTCTCCTGGCGCCATACTTCAGTGCCCCCGTGACATAACCGAAGTGACTGTGCATAGACAGAACTTGTGACCTAAGAGGGAGCCCTGGGCCTGAGCACCGGGATCCTGCAGCGCCCCGTCTCCCCCCTACACACTCTGGCTCCATCTCCTGTCAGAACCATCACGGCGTAGGTCTAGAAATCTTCGGCTTTTTTTAAGTTTGTTTGCTTGCTTGTTTGTTTACTTATTGAGAGAAAGTGTGGATGGGGGAGGGCAGAGAGGGAGGAGAGAGAGAATCCCAAGCAGGCTCTGCACCATCAGCACAGAGCCCGGCACGGGGCCTGAACTCATGAAACTGAGGTCATGACCTGAGCTGAGGCCAGGAGTCAGATGCTTGACTGACTGAACCACCCATGTGCCCCGGTGTTTGGCTTTGGTCCCTCTCATTTGTGAAGTGACAGAACCACCGAATACCCAAGTTCACTCTCCTGCAGAGACTCCATCTACGGAGGGGGAGGCTCTGCACCACCTCTGTTGACACTGCCACTTCCTGTCGACTTTGCTCCGTCCCTGTCATGTCTTCTGCCTGGTTCTCGTTAAAGCCCAGGACTTCATCATGCCCACTCCAAGCAGGCACCTTTTCTGCGGCAACAGGGCCCAGGGCAGGTTGGAAGCCGGGCTTACCTATTTAGAGCCGTCCTTGGCCAACTAATTTAACATCACTCAACCTGTTTCCTCGTTTATAAATCTTTTCACTGCTGAGAAAAGAGCAGTCTCGGCCATATTTACCAAGTCAGCAGTCCCCTGCCGGAGCACGGCCTCGCCGGGCCGGCGTCTGAACACTCTCGTTTGCCGGCCTAAGGACAGAAGCTACCCTGAGCCCTGGCCTTGTGTACCCACGGTCCCTTCTCCTTCCGTCATTTCGCAGAGCTCCGAGCCCACTTCGAGCCCACGTCAGAGACCGAAGGGGTGGAGGACACAGATGAGGTGGAAGACGACTATCCCCCGGCAGACCTGGCGGGAAGCGATGTGCCTGCGGCACACGGTGGGAGCTGCGTCCCTTCCGCAGGCGCCCCCCAGCCGCACCAGCAGCACCTGAGCCTCCAGCTGGGCGAGCTCCGACAAGAAACCAACAGGTGGGCAGGGGTGGGTCGGTGAGCTGGGCCACTAAGGTTACTGCTCTGCTCGCGGGAGGGTCTCACCCAGGTCTCCGAAAAGCATCTCCACCAAGAAAGCGGGCAGGGGGGTAGTCTCAGCTTCACGTGGGGGAGAAAGGCTCCCTCTTCAATGCTGGGAATCAGAGAGGTGTCCTGCCTTGCCACCAGCCACCGGGCAGTCAGCCCTGCTCAAGGCAGCAGCATCTTGGGAGTGTTTCCCGTCTCTCTGCCGCGCTGACACCCCTGGCGTGGCGCGTGGGTCCAGCCGGGTGAGCAGCGGACAGCCGCGGCCTGCCCCTCCTGAGACGGCCAGGCCCCGGGCTGGCGGCAGATCTGATGCACACGTACCCCGTAACCCCAGCCTGCGGAAGCGTGCCCTCTCCTCTTTGAATCTCTTCCACGTGGTTTGTCAGAATCCCCCGGCAGATTCTCATGGCCTGCTTTCCCAGCCAGGGGACCCTGGCATTGCTGTGAGGTACCCCCACAGGAGAGCTGGTCTGTTTCGTTCACGTCCTGGCACACAGATCACTGCTAATGCCACTTAGTACTCGACAGGGAGGTACGGTGCCAGGTGTGCGTATTTTGGAAGAAACACTGTTATACACTCCGGGGATCTCTGAAGTTTGACCTCAGGCAGATCTAATCTCTTCTTTTTGAAGACCTAGAGGGTTTTTTTTTTTCCTTCATTTTCTAGAGCTTATTTATTTTGAAAGAGTGCAAGTGGGGGAGGGGCAGGGAGAGAGAATGCCAAGCAGGCTCCACACCAGCAGCAGAGCCTGACGCTGGGGCTCGTTCCCACAAACCTTGAGGTCGTAGCCTGCGTGGAAATGACAGGAGTCGGACGCTTAACTGACTGAGACACCCCAAGCCCTGGAGTTGTAATTAACAGGTAGTGGTAGCAAGATTTTGAAAGCTTTTACAGTATGACAAATGTGGAAGCTGATAATTAGCACCACTTTAAGATATTCCTAAACTGTTTCCTACAGGCTCAAGGCTCTTTATCTACACTGCTGCTAGTCCTGTAGAATGAGTAATGACCGCAGCGGGCTGACAAACACCCTTCTTCCTATATGGCTCGCCTGTCCCTATGGCTCGGAGGCCTTAGCTGCGGTCGGGCAGAGCGCAAGGATGGCCCCGCCCCCCGCCCCCCGCGGCCCGGGAGCAACCGGTCTGTCCTGTGAGGCCAGCTCCTGTGACGCACGTAGCAGTCACTGGTCCCATAAACGTCTGCACTTGTGTTCCTCCTTCTGGAGGCCGAATTTTTGCCGGCTCCCTCGCACCGCTGGCCATCAGCAGCAGGGGCGCCTGGGAGGGCTCGGGGTGGGGGGGTCTCACGGTTCAGTGCACGGTCTGCTTTGGATCCTCTGTCCCCCTCTCTCTGCTCCTCCCCTGCTTGCGCACTTGCTCTCTCAAAAATAAACGTTAAAAAAGCAGCAGGGCTTCTGGCTCCTTGGCCTCCTCCCCGGAGGGAAGAGAGCCTGAGAACTAGTTTCAGCAACTTGATCTGACTCAGGGAGACCAGCTGTAATGATCACATCCCTCCTGGCTGAGCTTACCGATCACCCTCAGGTTGTCTTTCTGGTTCCTAATACATTTTGAGACAAAACAGACCCATGCCCTGAGTGCTGGTCTGTGTTTGCAAAGGGAGGAAACACAGGGTAGGTGCCCAGGTATAGGCTGCAACCAGACTGTTGGGACTGTGTCAATTTTTTTTTTTTTTTCAATCTTTAAGGTTCAACAAAATGTTTGTGAATTGAACTGAATGGTGTTAGGCTCTCTCTGGATAATGGCTTATTTGTTTAACCAGACTTCTGAAACACCTAGTTCAGAAAGAGAGAGAGTACCAGAATCTTCTACGGCAAACCTTAGAGTGGAAAACTCAAGAATTATACCATCTTCAGTTACAGTTCAAATCTAATGGTGAGTAGTTTCCCACTTGCTCTGACTTGTGTGTAAGAGACCACTGAAAATCTGCCTGATGGTCTACTCAGCCTTGACACAGCTACACTTACTCTCTATGAAACCAGTAAGTACCCCAGTAGATTCTGGAATACTATCAAGAAGAAGAAGGAACTACTGATACATTCAGAAACACAGATAAATCACAAATGCATGATGCTAAGTGAAGGCAGATTCAAAAGGCGCCACACGAGGAGTTCCTAAATACACGGTATTTATATACGCAATGCTCTGTTAGAGGCCAAATCAGAAAATGGGGAGAGGGGCTTGATTATAAAAAGCCACGTGAACTTTTTGGGGTGATGAAAACTTTTCCTACATACCTAAAAAGGGTGATTTACTGCCTAACTTCTAAACTGAATTCATCTTGTGCCTACAAAAGGCTGCAGCTACCTCTTGGAATGTGGAATGGAGCAGCTCTGGTACATAATTCTCAATACTGAATTCTATTTCCCCATTGGATTTGCAGTGCAGACACGGATGGGATTCCTTACAAAAGGCATTGTACAGAATAGGCACTTAAAGTGGTAGACAGAGAGCCTATGAAACGCCATCGTAAGGAAAATGACCGTTACCTGTGGTTCCTTGAATCTCTGGAACGTGAATCCAAGAACTATGGGCTTGTGCGCCCTGGACTAGAGCAGCTAAGACAGGTTTAACTTGCTTTCAAATCACATTTACGTTCTGGAATAGTTTATTTCATCCAATTTATCTTTGAAGAGTTTCGCTGTTAAACATGAACGTACAACAAAATAATTCTCTCATCACTGCAGAGACTCCAGAGAACCCAGCGTCCTCTCCTGGGTCTCATGGGCAGAAAACCGATAAAGAGCTTGTAGACTGGTTACAAGAGAAAGGAGCAGATGCGAGTACAATAGAAAAGGTAAATTTATATAACAAAAAAACATTCCTATGCTGTAAGAACAAATAATAATAGCAGCTTAATCTTGTGTATTTGATGTTTGTTTCAGATTGTTGAAGAGGGTTATACGCTTTCTGATATTCTAAACGACATCACTAAGGAAGATCTAAGACACCTTAGACTACGGTAAGAATGGCTTCAAAACACTGTAATAGAAAATGACTTTTTTCCCTGTGATTATGCTTTTAAATAAAGCAGTAGAAAACAAAGTGCTGGTAACTTCCCTTCGCTGAAATTAGCTTCCTATCCGTGGCTTAGAGAACAAACTATCTAATCTCAGCCCCAGCCCTGGGGTTTTCCTAGGACAAAGTCGGGTATGAGTGAGAAAGAGGGAGGTGAAATACAAGGCTCTCCCCCTCAAGCCCTCTTTACGTTAGCCATCTGGCGCTCCTGTACGTACCCCGCACGCCGCCTCCCGTTGCTACTGGGCACAAACACAAGAGGACGTGTCTCTATTTAAGTTAGGGGCTGCATTTTGGCAAACCTAGACGAGTGTAGAATTACATACCATAGCTTTTGACCTAAGAGCTACATAAGGATTTGGTGGTGTTTTGATCTTTTCTTACGACTCTGAAAAACACTCTTGATTGTTTCCTAGTGGCGGGCTCCTCTGCAGGCTCTGGACAGCAGTCTCCCAGTACAGAAGAAAGGCTCGGGGGTCCCTGGCATCCCAAGATGGGGCTGGACCAGTCGGTTAAGCCAGGGGATAGAAGAAGCCAAGGGCTGACATCCTTTTTTGTTTAAACTTCTGTTAACATACACACAAATTTCACTGAGTTTACACAAGGAAAACCCCACTGTTGAAGAACTTGAAGTTTTAAAGAATTACCGGGATGGGTTTTTTAAACATGTTAACTTCTTAACATGTTTTAAAGGTGAGTGGAACTTTAGGCATTGTGAGAACAGTGACTGAACCCTAATTTTGACATGCCAGAGTATTATGGCATTCTTTAAGATGGATGAAAATTCCATACACCCTATAGCACTTACTGGAAAGGTGAGGCAGGTGTTTAACAGGCTGGCATCACTGTTCTAGACGATAGGTTAAACTCGTACTTAAAAAGATTAAAATGTTAAGAATATGCCTTGTGTTTGATACTGAATGTAAATAGAAAAACTATCTTTTGTATTTAATATATAAACAAAGAACTGATTACGAGTGGTCTTATTTAAAAAAGGAATTGTCCTTTTATGCGCTGCCTGGATAGAATGACTATTGCGTTTTATTGAGCAACGGTCAGTGCGAAGAGGCATCAGCCTCCACACACACACTCTGTGTACAGTGGGGGCTGTTTGGTGGTGGACACAGGCGAGTACAAGGCTCCAGGGAATGACCCTACTCCCCTCGAATGATGGCAGAGTTGAACAGGTAGGAATGGCTTTTCGATTTAGCAATTACTTTTCAAAAGAAATAGAACTATTTTAAGGAAATAATTTTAAGTCTAAAATACCCTTTATATAATTGTGCAATAATAACCTCTTTCAATGCAACACTATATAAAACACATGCAAGTACTATCTTAGCCTACATACTTTCTTGAGAACACAGAGAGTCCCTTATAGTTGGAGGTGTCACCATCCATGACCTGCGGTTTCCCTTTAACTGATGGACTTAAACTTGATCCACTGATTCGCACCCCGAACTTCAAAAGGCGGGTCGCTGCTGTAAATGTGATGGCCTAGTTCTTCCAACGGTGGTTCAGGATCAGCAGTGGCAAACTGGGCAGCATCCTCAATTTCTTTCCTGACTTCAACATCGATTTCCTAAAAATCAGATTATAGTTCAGGAGGTTTCTGAACACATAGCAGCTTAGGTACCAAATAGCTCCACCAGGAACCTGTTGCTATTTTTGCTACTGGGAGGGTTTAAAGCTTTTGTGAATGTAACTGATTCATGTGCTGTGAAACCTTCCCAGTTACCGAGGAGTTAACTCCCCCAGCAGAGGGGCAGCTTTCTGGCTGCAGAAAAATGCGTTGCCCAGAAAGAAGAGCAGAGACCGTACCTTTAATTCTTCAACACTAGCCAGATTGCTGTTCACCATTCTATCCTTGAGAAGCATAATCGGGTCACTCTTGCTTCTTACTTCCTGAATCTCCTCTCGTGTACGGTAACTACAGGGAGGCAAACGAATACGTAAGAACATTTCCAGTACAGCAAAGACCGTTCTGTGAAATACAGATGATGTATGTTCCTGACAAGGAGCAGGGCAATACCGCCATCACCGTGCAATTATACTTTCAAAATACAAGAACTACACCTCTAACATTAAGAGCTGCTTAGTATCTTTTAACAGGAAATTCTACCTTGGCCATTCCCCTGGCTTCTCAGGCATTCTGACAACAGGGGCCTGGTTCTAGATGTAGGGTAGGAAGGGGGTGGTAGAGCCACTTCATGTGCCCTTGTTCCCACCCTTCTGAGCTTCCACACTTGATGTGGGCAGTGAGAACGACCCCCAAAGAAGCATGACCAAGCAAATGCTGGGACGGCAGGTCTTCCAATTCCTCTTCTATAACACAGCGGCCCCTTGAACAACGTTGTGGGGGTCAGGAGCACTGACTTCCCATACACCCAGTTGAAAATCTGCAAATTTTGACTCCCCAAAAGAACACATTTTGTATTACTCTTAAGGCAAACTAGAAAAAAATCAGAGAAAATACTGTTCTGTAAGAAATGGACCCATGCGGCGAAACCTGTGTTGTTCAAGGGTCAACTGTGCTTTCGTGTCCCGCAACATGTATTACCTCACAAGGAAGGGCTCTACCGTTTTTTTCCAAACACCGAGTACATTTTATAATGTTTTCCCTCAGAACTCCAATCTGACTAAATCGACTTCTTTCCACTGTGTCACACTCTGGGATGGCAGCATTACATGCCAGAATTACCAACTGACAAGTAAAACTATCTTCCTACCATAACCTACCTTTTTCTGACTGATAGATTTCAACATGTCGACTACCCCATGTGCCAGGGGGCAGCACTCCATACCAGTTAGCTTTTCAAATACTGACTCTTCCCGCGGGTAGTGCCTACAAAAGCTACAGGCCCCTACAGACATCAACCCTCTACACTGTTGACCTGTTTTATGCAGTGATTTCTCTCTGCAACTTTTTCAAAGTAACCTCTACCCCCAAAGTGGAGCTCGGGCTCCCAATCCCAAGCTCAAGTCACATGCTCTACCTACTAGGCCAGCCCAGTGTTCCTTCTACAACTTCTTTCATTGACGCTCTTGCTAACAAGTACAGGCTATGTATTAGAGGAATTTTCAGAATGCTTCCGGGCAAAGACTCCTATAACTACTCGATGCCAACCAATTCACTGCATGAAGCCCACTGGCGTCCGGCTTCCAGCTTTTTTGTGTGAGTAGCCCCATACAAAGTCCAGCCACCTGGGACACCACACTCAGATGTCCCATGACCATACCTGACACCAGGGTCACTCATGCTGTGTCCATGGTAGCGGTAAGTCTGTAGCTCCATCAGTATGGGACCCTAAAACAGAACCCAATGGAGGTTGAGATGATGAGCACAGCACATCCGTTCAGAATCAAAGATCTTCTCATCAGATCTTCCATAAGTTGGCTGAGTTGTCAAGAATTTTTCATTCCCCAGGGCGCCTGGGTGGCTCAGTCGGTTGAGCGTCCGACTTTGGCTCAGGTCACGATCTCACGGTTCATGGGTTCGAGCCCCGCATCAGGCTCTGTGCTTACAGCTAGCTCAGAGCCTGGAGCCGGTTTCAGATTCTGTGCCTCTCTCTCTCAAAAAAAAAAAAAAAAAATCCCATTCCCCGACAGACATAGATGTTCTCATTTCTAATACCTAGGTATTCCATTTCATCCTCATTTTTTTTAATGTTTATTTTTGAGAGAGGGTGCACAAGCGGGGGAGGGGCAAAGACGGAATGTGAAGCAGGCTCTGAGCTGTCAATGCAGAGCCCAATGCAGGACTCGAACCCACAAACCATGCGATTGTGACCGAAGCCAGATGGTTAATGGACTGAGCCACCCAGGCGCCCCTCCTCCTTAACAGGAACTTATTTGAATCAAAACGGTATTTAACATGTTATAGAACCCACTGATCTTAATGATTGCATTAGCACTGTCTTTGATATATAAGAATCCTATGAAACAGCTGACATTTAATAATGAAGAAAAACATTTTTAGAAAGCAGGTATGACACCCAGGGGGAGGGGATGGCTTTTATCATCAGAATCAATAAAGCTAGTTCTCTAGCTCAGTCACAGATGACATGATCTACAAGCATTTGGATCCTTTTAAAAAGCTAGAGAAAAATACTAACGTAAAATCTCACAGAATAAGACTAAAAGCAAACCTGTGTGTGCTATAAAGTACAGAAGGCAGAAGAACTAAAGCTATAGGCTGGGTAGGTGAGTCTCCTCCCCCCATTTCAGGCAGTGTTTCGGAGGGGCTGCCGACCGATCCTGCTGCACACAGATCTGGTGAATGCGTAACAAAGTCGGCAGTCACGGACAACATCTGCTGTTGAACCCTGTGACTCTCCTGGCCAGCCTGACCACCCCTAGGATCCTGCTACACCAGCCCTCTTCCCGAAGCCAAGGTTGAACACCGAGGGAAGAGGGTGGATCTAGGATCCCTGGGCAGTTTGGGTGCAGTGGTTTAAGTGCCTGGAATCCAACCTGGGCTGTCGTGTATAGCAGCCTTCGGTTGTCGTCTTACAAATGAGGGACCTAACTCAAGAGTTGTGCTGATGCACACATAAGAAGTGTTTACTGTGTCACCTCACCTACATCAATTCCTCAGTAACCGTCACCTATTCTTTCTGTTGTATGTCATCTAGGAGGTACTGAGGAGCACAGTGGGTTGGCCTAAAGAGGGTTCTAGACTCCCCTAATTCCAAGATCAGCTGGGCAAGTCAGTACATACCACAAACCAGTGATCATGTTTCCACATATATTTGTACCCCACCTATTCTTTCAGGACCTGGGGAAGAGAGGAATGCTAGCCACTGCCCAAGCCTAGACCTCTTCTAGTCTTGGGAGCCGGATATAGACTGCTGAGTTCACGGCCACCTCGGTCATACTCTCCATTTCCCCCTCGGCCGCAACCCCTGCCCCACCGGCATCGCTGCTGTCCAAATCTTACCACACATGGGAGGTCACAAACCCTAAGGACATGCTTTCCAGGCTGTGCAACACCGATTCAGGGAGAACATCATCCTTTCCACTAGCTCTAACAGCACCTCACTCAGCCAACCTCACTGTTGCCCTCTTCCTCTACTGCTCTCCCTGAAAGGTCGAGATTCTCAAACAGGAAAACTAGGATTAGACACCTGAACCAGAATATTTAATTTACAGAAGACAAGTTTACACTGAACACCTATTATCCAAACGAAGTTTTGTGCTAGCATTGTGAGGGTCCCCAATGTGTTCATTCAAGGGGCTTATGATTAATGGGGAAGGGGCAGAGGTTGGAGGCACATAATTAACCAAACCACAGGTCAAAATGTGGAGGAAGCACTCAAAAGATTTGTCCCAAATGGAGGCAATGTGGGATATTTCCCAAGAGGTGAGTTACCAAGACCATACTATTCACAAAGGGACCTGATTGACTGGACTCTGCTTCTACTTTATACACAACCTCAATTACCAGCTACCCTTGAAGAGCTACCACAGATGCATGGGAGGCATTATTTTAACTTTAAGATAAACATCAATAGAAATCTCTAGGCCACAGGCCTAGGAGAAAGCCTTACCTTTCCAGATCTACAGTAGGCGGCTGCAAACTTTGTCGCCTCCCGGACACACAGGATATCCATTCCATCTACCTGTTAACACACAGGAAAGGAGCAGAACATAAATCAACCTAAAACCTATTCATGCACTAAAAACAACTCTTCAATTTGTCTCAGATTGTAAAGGTCACACACAAAGACATCAATGGGGTACACCAGGTGTCCTTACCCGCAGCCCAGGAATGAAGTCACCTCTCTTGTAGTAATCAGTGCTGGCCGCTGCTCTCTCAACGGACGTTCCCATTCCATAGCGGTTATTTTCACAGATGAAAATACAAGGCAATTTCCACAAAGCTGCCATATTGTAAGCTTCGAATATCTGACCCTGGAAGTAGGTGTAAGAAGTTCAAATGGTTTCATTTTGCCATTTTTCTCTAGACCTCTTTATTGTCCCCAGCAGCTGCTGCTCTGACAGAGAAAGCTTTCATGAAACATGACATGCCTCACCTGCCACCAACAAGCTTTTCAGACAAAGGAGAGTGTGTTGGGGACACCCAGCAAAAAACATCTCTTTTTGCAACCAAAGGAAGCGACAAACCAAATACTACCACTTGTTTAGGTGGGGTCCAGGCAGTAGTACAAAACACACTGGACTTGTGGCTACCTGGTTTTCTACTTTACTGTAAATGCCACACCCACCAGATAGCCAGCATGAACCAGCACCTCAGAGCATCGTGCACAGACCGGAGAAGACTCAGACCATCACAGGAGACGTACAGAAAGAGTCGTGGCTCAAAGACCATGAGAGGAGTCTGACGATGCCAGGGCATCCAAGAGAATGAGTCTGTGCATTACAGTACTGACCGAGGAACTGGCTTTCAATGGGTTAAAACGTGAAAAGGTCCTTCACCCACTGAGCGTTTGTGAAGCACTGAGATAGAGGCAAACGAGGGCTCCTGCACAGGGGTGCCCGTACAAAGTGCAGGGTAAACGTGCCATCAAGTAAACCTCTAATCAGGCCATAAAGCCAAATTTTAGCTTTCCACAAATGGCTACTGCCACTAACAAGCAATATATTCTTTCTCTACAAATGAACTATGAATCCGCAACACTGTAGAAATGAAACTGCAATGGTTATTAAAAAGTTAAGAGACATATACTCACTTGATTAGCAGCACCATCGCCATATAAAGTCAAACAGACCTCATCCTTTCCGTTATACTTACAGGCCAGAGCAATCCCTGCTCCCAGGGGCACCTAATATTAATGACAACCAAATAGGAATCAATGAGGATTATATATACAATGGAGTACTACTTAGCAATGAGAAAGAATGAAATCTTGTCATTTGCAGCAACGTGGATGGAACTGGAGGGTATTCTGCCGAGTGAAATAGGTCAATCGGAAGGACAAATATCGTATGTTTTCACTCATCTGGGACTTGAGAAAGTTAACAGAAGACCATGGGGGAGGGGGGAAATGTTAGAAACAGCGGGAGGGAAGGAAACCATAAGACTCTTAAATACAGAAAACAAACTGAGGGCAGGGGAGGTGAGGAGAGGGGGAAATGGGTGATGGGCACTGAGGACGGCACTTGTTGGGATGAGCACTGGGTACTGTGTGTAAGCAGTGAATCAGAGGAATCTACCCCCAAAACCAAGAGCACACTGTATACACTGTATGTTAGTCAACTTGACACTAAATTATATTAAAAAAACAAAAAACAAAGAAATCCATGAGGAGAGAAACTAACGCCCTGAATTTTAAGTCCTGGCCAGAATTTAAGATAGGACTTAGACGATCACTGCAAACTCCCTATTCCACTGCTATGTCTAATTCCTCCACCCCCATTATTACAAACTGGCAAAACAGCATGAATAATTCTTATTCTATTTCAACCATGAAAAAATAACATTTCTGCAAAGATTCCACTACTAAAGAGTCAAAACACGACACCTAGGTGTTTTTTTTAACATATAATAGAATTTCATTAGAAAGTACACCAATCTAGTTACAGTTATACACTGTTAACTTCTTCACTATTCACTAACTGATGAGAACGAAGAGGACTACATAACCAAAGAAGCTGGATTTATTTCTAGGCCCCTAAGATCTGATCACCTGCCTTTCCTCATCAGACACTAGCATCAGCATTCTACAGCAGGGAAAGGTAGGGCAAAGTGGATGTGACAAAGCACTTAATGCACTTAAATGTAAAAGGTGAAGGTATAGCTCTGTTACAACAGGCTCTTGCTTCATTACAAAACCTGACAAATACTGAAAAGGAAGAATTTTAAGTCACTGTCCAACCACGTCTATTAACTTATCAAATGATACGCTATGAAGCAACAGGTTTTTTAAAATACACTAAGCCCCACAGCTCGGCGCACCCTGCCTGCGGTTCTGCAGCCCTGCCCCAAGGCTCTGGAGGATAAAAGTTTTTATCTAGAGGATAAAAGTTTTTTATCTGGAGATAAAAGTCTTTCCAAATAAACAAAAATTGAAAGAATTTGTCACCACTAAACCAGCCCTGCAAGAAATCCCGAGGGGAACTCTATGAGGGAAATGTTGCAAGGACCTCAAGATACCAGAGACACCACCACAAGCATGAATCCCACAAAGGACACAATGGCTCTAAACCCATATATTTCAATAATAACACAATGTAAATGGGCTGAATGCTCCAATCAAAAGACACAGGGTAGCAGAATGGATAAAAAAAGCAAAATCCATCTATTTGCTGTCCACAAGAAACTCATTTTAGACTGGAGGACACCTTCTGACTGAAAGTAAGGGGATGGAGAAATATCTATCATGCTCCTGGAAGTCAAAAGAAAGCTGGAGTAGCTATACTTATATCAGACAAACTGGACTTTAAATCAAAGACCATAACAAGGGATGAAGAAGGGCATTATATCATAATTACAGGGTCTATCCATCAGGAAGAACTAACAATTATAAATGTCTACGCACCAAATATGAAAGCACCCAAATACATAAAACAATCACAAACAGAAACAATCTTATGGACAAGAATGTGCTAATAGCAGGGGACTTTAATACTCCACTTACAGCAATGAACAGATCAACTAGACAGAAAATCACTAAAGAAACAATGGACTTGACACATGGGACCAGATGGATTTGACAGATGTATTTAGAACTCTACATCCTGAGGCCATGGAACTCCATTTCTTCTCAAGGGCGCATGGCACGTTCTCCAAGATAGATCACAAACTGGGACATAAAGCAGCCCTCAAGAAATATAAAAGAATTGAGATCATACCATGCACATTTTCAGATCACAATGCTATGAAACTTGAAATCAACCACAGAAAAAAGTCTGGAAAACCTCCAAAAACATGGAGGTTAAAGAACACCCTACTAAAGAACGAATGGGCCAATCAGGCCATGAGAAAAGAAATTTAAAAATATATGGGAAGAAATGAAAATGAAAATACAACAATCCAAACTCCATGGGATGTGGCAAAGGCAGCCCTAAGAGGAAAGTACACTGCACTCCAGGCCTATTTCAAGAAATTAGAAAAAGCGTAAGAGCAAAATCTAACAGCGCACCTAAAGGAACTAGAGGCAGAGCAACAAGAGCGCCCCAAACCCCGTAGGAGAAAAATAATAAAAATCAGGGCAGAAAAAAATGATACAGAAACCAAAAAAACAGTTGAACAGATCAACGAAACCAAGAGTTGGTTTTTTGAAAAAATAAACAAAAGTGACAAACCTCTAGCCAGGCTTCTCAAAAAGAAAAGAGAGAGCACTCAGATAGACAAAATCATGAATGAAAATAGACTGAATACAACCAATCCCTCAGAAAGACAAGCAATTATCAGGGGATACTATGAAAAATTATATGCCAACAAACTAGACAACTTAGAAGAAATAGACAAATTCCTAAACACTCACTACCAAACTTCACGCGGGAAGAGATAGAAAATCTGAACAGACACATGCCTAGTGAGGAATAGAATCAGTTATCAAAAATCTCCCAACAAATAAGAGCCCTGGGCCAGACGGCTTCCCTGGGGAATTCTACCAGACATTTAAAACAGAATTAATACCCATTCTTCTCAAGCTATTCCAAAAAACAGATATCGAAGGAAAACTTCTGGACTCATTTTATGAAGCCAGCATCACTTTGATTCCCAAGCCAGAGACCCAGCAAAAAAAGAGAACTACAGGCCAATATCCTTGATGAATACGGATGCAAAAATCCTCAACAAGATACTTGCAAATTGAATCCAACAGCACATAAAAAGAATGATCCACCATCATCAGGTGGGATTCATTCCTGAGTTACAGGACTGGTTCAATATTCACAAATCAATCAATGTGATATATGACATTAACAAAAGAAAAGATCATATGATCCTGTCGATAGATGCAGAAAAAGCATTTGACAAAATACAGCATCCCTTCTTAATAAAGACCCTCCAGAAAGTCAGGATAGAAGCAACTTACCTAATCATAAAAGCCATCCATGAGAAGCCCTCAGCTAACATCATCCTCAACGGGGAAAAACTGAGAGCTTTCCCCTGAGATCAGGAACACGACAGGGTTGTCCACTCTCACCACTGTTGTTTAACACAGTGCTAGAAGTCCTAGCATCAGCCTTCAGACAACCAAAGGAAATAAAGGGCATCAGAATTGGTAAAGAAGTCAAACTTTCACTTTTCGTAGACAACATGATCCTCTACATAGAAAACCCAACAGACTCCACCAGAAGCCTATTAGAACTGATCCAAGAATTCAGCCAAGTTGCAGGATACAAAATCAACATACAGAAATCGGTTGCATTTTTATACACCAATAATGAAGCATCAGAAAGAGAAATCAAGACACTGATCCCATTCACAACTGTACAAAAAAACTAAAGTACCTAGGAATAAATCTAACCAAAGATATAGGAGATCTGTATGATGAAAACTATAGAAAACTTATGAAGGAAATTGAAGAAGACACAAAGAAATGGAAAAACATTCCATGCTTATGGATCAGAAGAAATATCGTTAAACTCTCATTCCTACCCAAAGCAATCTACACATTCAATGCAATCCCAATCAAAATTACACCAGCCTTCTTCTCAAAACTAGAACTATCCTAAAATTTGTATGGAACCACAAAAGACCCCGAATAGCCAACGGGAGGAAGAAAGAAAGAAGAAGAAAACCAAAACGGGAGGCATCACCATCCCAGACTTTAGCCTCTACTACAAAGCTGTCATCATCAAGACAGTATGGTATTGGCACAAAAACAGACACACAGACCAATGGAATAGAGAACTCAGAATTGAACCCACAAATGTATGGCCAACTAATCTTTGACAAACAGGGAAGAGCACCCAATGAAAAAAGACAGCCTCTTCAACAGATGGTGCTGGGAAAACTGGACAGCAACATGCAGAAGAATGAAACTAGATCATTTTCTCACACCACACACAAAAATAAACTCAAAATGGATAAAGGATCTGAATGTGAGACAGGAAACCATTAAAACCCTAGAGGACAAAGCAGGAAACAACCTCCATGACCTCCACCGCAGCAATTTCTTACTTGACACATCCCCAAAGGCAAGGGAATCAAGAGCAAAAATAAACTACTGGGACCTCATCAAGATAAAAAGCTTCTGCACGGCAAAGGAAACAATCCATAAAACTTATAGGCAACTGACAGAATGGGAAAGGATAGTAGCAAATGACCTATCAGATAAAGGGCTAGAATCCAAAATATATAAGGAACTCATCAAACTCCACACCCAAAGAACAAATAATCCAGTGAAGAAATGGGCAGAAGACATGAACAGACACATGAAACAATGCTCAGCATGCCTCCTCATCAGGGAAATACAAATCAAAACCACACTGACATACCACCTCACGCTGGTCAGAGTGGCTAAAATGAACAAATCAGAGGACTCCAGATGCTGGCGAGGATGTGGAAAAACGGGCACCCTCCTACACTGCTGGTGGGAATGTAAGCTGGTGCACCCCCCTGGAAAACCGTGTGGAGGTTCCCCAAAAAATTAACAATAGAACTCCCCTATGACCTAGCAGTAGCACTGCTAGGAATTTACCCAAGGGATACAGGAGTGCTGATGCATAGGGGCATATGGACCCCCATGTTCATAGCAGCACTCTCAACAATAGCCAAAACATGGAAAGAACCTAAATGTCCATCAACTGATCAACGGATCAAGAAGATGTGGTTTATCTATACAATAGAATACTACATGGCAATGAGAAAGAATGAAATCTGGCCATGTGTAGCAACGTGGATGGAACTTAAAGGTGTTATGTTGAGCAAAATAAGTCAGGTAGAGAAGGACAAATACCATACGTTTGCACATATAGGAGGATTAGGAGGATTAGGAGGAACTTAACGGAGGACCATGGGGGAAAAGAAGGGGAAAAATAGTGGGGGAGAGGGAGGGAGGCAAACCATGAGAGACTCTTGAATGCTGAGAACAAACTGAGGGCTGAGGGGGTGTGGGGGAGAGGGGACGGCGGGTGATGGGCATGGAGGAGGGAACTTGTTGGGATGAGCACTGGGTGTTATATGTAAACCAACTTGAGAATAAACTATTAAAAAAATAAATTAAAAAATTAAAAAATTAAATAAAATACACTAAGACCCCCTGGGGCGCCTGGGTAGCTCAGTCGGTTAAGCGTCCAATTTCAGCTCAGGTCATGAACTCACTGCTCATGGGTTTGAGACTATGCTGACAGGTATAAGCCTGGAGCCTACTTCAGATTTTGGGTCTCCCTCTCTTTCTGCCTCTCCCCTGCTCGCATTCTGTCTCTCAATATAAAACATAAAAACATTTTTTTAAAAAATTACACCAAGCCTCCAAAGTACTAAAATACTGCAAGAGGAAATTTCTCTGGGGCATGAATAACTAACTTTAAGACATGGTCTAGGGCCCAATCAAGGAAAGCATGCACTCCTCATCCTCATCTCAGATCACCTGAGCTCCAACGATGCCATTGCCCCCGTAGAAGTTTTTGGCATACATATGCATCGATCCACCTTTTCCTTTAGCACAGCCTCCTCTTCGTCCTAGAAATAACCAGCATATACACATCAAAAACCAAATACACAAAACAAAATTGCACCCCAAGTATTTATTGAGAGGTTCAACCACTAGGACTCACAGGCTAATTCAAATGTATAAACACCCATCCTTCTATACAAATACGTGTTCCACTGGATCCTTTCATGAATGCCAATCCAGTCCCATGTCTTTGACCTTTATCCTTTAGATGTTAGCATGATACCCTGGACTTTTTTCCCCCCAGTTACAAATATCTTCCAATTTCCCCTACACTGGTACACCCAACAGTTCGAGAGTCAGAGAAAACATTAAAAAGATTCCTAAAGTTTAAATTGCATACAATGAAATGCTCCTACTCAATTTACTTTCTATGACTGCTAGAATTCTACTGGCATGCTTAAGTGATCAACAGTATTCTGATTTTATGGAGCTCACATTTTTAAACTAATTTTTAAACTTCTATCCGAAGGGCCAGATGATCTGAAAAATGATCAGTTTACTCAAAAGCACGAGAGAGGTACCACAGCACCAAAAGGAGAGGCTTCTGTTTATTCAGCACAAAAAGATTTTAATATTAAGTTGTAATATCATCTTAATATGAGAGATTTGTAAACTTTCAGTAATTTCTCCTTTTTGAAAATCAACAGCAAACCTGTAAGCTCTGCGAGAATTTCTCGGACAGAAAGCCCACGCGTGAAGGTAAATCCATGAGCCCGATAGGCTGTGATAAGATGGTCTGTGGGATTTATGCCGGCCTCCAGGCCCACACAGCAAGCTTCCTGCATTAAAAGCAGCAGTAATGAGTCAATACAATTCACATTTCTAGATACAAGAATCCCTAAACTACTATGAAACATTTGGCCTAGCAGAACTCTTAATAACACAAAAAGAGTTGTATTTTTTATCACAAACAGAGGGTAAAGCACAAGCCAGAAGCTGCAAACTGACAATCCAGCCTCCAACTGGAAACATCCAACTGTTTCATGCCTGTGTACATTCATCACTGTGTACAGTGATATGGAAAAAATCCCGAATTAGATGTCAACATTAGTACTGGGGGAGTTTCATATGAAAATCCAGACTTCTGTGTTCTCTAGAAGAAACGAACAGGAAGCACTAACCCCATGTTTCCACGTGACAGCAACTGGCTAGAACCAAGTGTGATACCCCTGGTGGGTGGGGCCTGCCTGCTCAAGTTCACTACCAGACCCGGTCACCATTCTCTAGTTTTTGTACAGCTGGCCTTCTTCACTCATTTATTTCACCTAGGTAGTCCCCATAGGCATTTGAATTTGTAACCCTTGGCCCAAACCCACAAAACAAAAATCAAATTGAAAACCCTTCCCCCCCAAAAGTATATCCAGTACGAGTGATCAGTGCTGTGTAAGGCACAGGCCATGAACAACGGGGCACGTGAAAACATTCTCCAACGTAAGCTTCACAGCAGGTCTGGGCATTCTCATCTTTACTCGGACAGGCCAGTCTTGAGTCCTTCAGACACAAAAGGCAGGGTAAAAACCAGTAAATACAAACCATACTGAGGTGCCTGGGTGGCTCAGTCGGTTGAGTGTCTCTTTTGATTTAGGCTTGGATCATGATCCCAAGGTCATGAGATCACGCCCCACAATGGTCTCTGTGCTTAGCGTGGAACCTGCTTGGGATTCTCTTTCTCTTCCTCTCTCTGCCCCTCCCCCATGCTCTCTAATTAAAAACAAACAAACACACAAAACAACCATACTTAAATTCCTAAATCCAACATGGTTTTATTACAAAACCACCACTCACCTGACCATCACACAAGTGACAAAAACCACGAATAATTTTCTGTTTATACAGCTGATCTGCCTTTAATTCCATTCGGCGAACAGTCTGCATCATCCTATAGTATTTGAGCCCATCTTCTCTGGTGAGCACTGTGGTGACAGGAGGGCCCTCTTCCAGTCGGTGAAGATCACATTTCTGAAATGGAATCAGACAGTTGACTTCCAGTTACTACAACGTAACATAAATCCTGCCAACCCACTCTAAGATCTAATATCTTATTGCAACAGTATTTAACTCAAAAAGCAGCAGAGGAGCACATAAGAAATGCTACATGTTGCTTCTGACTCCTTACATCATAAGGAGTAACGGAATGGGGTTCTGGAGACAAAAAATGTTTATAAGAGGACTTTCAGTGAGAACCCCGTGAAGTCAAAGGAGTTATAGACTGAAAGACAAACTTTTTAAAGAAACACCCCATTCTTATTGAACTATTTTGCTGAAACATCTTCTAAATTGTGGATTAGGTCTTTATAATTTTTTTTTTTTTTTTAGCTCTCCCCACTTCCCTCTTCCCAAAACACCAGCAAGCTGCTGAGCAAGAAAAGTGAATTCTAACTTTTCCTCAACTTCTCTGAACCTTTGACTCTAGAACATTTGGAAGAAAATGGTGAAAAAGCACAAATATCAAAATGTTCTATTTCAAAGGTAAAACTGCGTAGCAAAGTGTACCTGCAGAAAAATTATTAACACAAAGCAAAACACCTCTTACCTTAATTTCAAATGTAGCATCATTTGCAAAATTACGGGATGCCACCAGCACTCTGCTTGCCTTGAAAGACCAAAACATACAAATATATCAGTACTTTTTATATTCAGGTATTTTTGAAAGTCATTATTATCAACCAATTATGAGGATGCAGTCCTGGAATTTTCATAAGCCCCAACATATTCATGGGTTTATCTTCCATTCTCTTCACTGTGTTAGAATCTCGTCTTCAAAATAAATCCATGCTTTGGCCAATGAAATATGATTATATCCCTCTCCTGAAGGCAAACAGCAGAGACAGGAAGGAGGGAAAAAGTCAAATCCACCCACTTAGCCATTTTGTTTCCAAAAAAATTACAGTGAAAATATAATGAAGTTAATGGCCAATGGAAAAGACTGGATAATCTCTGGGCTTTATTTATTTCTGCTATTCTCAGTCATGACCACACACTGAACAAGCTTTACTTTCAGAATTATTCTTCAAATAAAACTATGATTCAATTCCTACTTCAGGCAAACCACTATTCTATGAAATGGTTCCATAAAAAAATATTTCCAACTATTCAAAGTATGAGATAAACATGTTAGTGAGACACGTACAAGACAAAAGAAAAGATACTTAGCACTCCCTGACTTAAAAACAATGGACCCGAGGGACATTTTATAAGGTGAACAGCCTATGTCTTTGGTCGGCTCGTCCTGAGGCCTCAGAAGGGAGGGACGTTCTACGTTCTATGCAGCTGTGCTCACTTCTTGACGTTTGTATATTAACTAACTGTATATTAGCTGGACTTCAAATAAAAACTTAATAAAAATAAACAAATAAAACTAGAGACCAAACCAGCCAATAACCAACCATACCATCTTAAAGTTGAAACTGAGACTGACAGAAATTTCTATATAATAAAGAGCAGAAAGGAAAGGTCAAAGACTATGAGTGCCAGAAAGGTACTCATATCCTTTCTCATCGTTTCATTATTATCAATCTCAAAAATAAGAGGAACCACTCATATAATGGGCAAAAGAAGCTGAGTGAAAGAAGCATATAATAATTTTTAACTGTTGAGATTGTTGAAAAAATTACCTTTCCTTTTCTCTGGAGAGCCATAAAAAGCTTCTCTGTTAAATGGGATTCCTCTTTGAGAGGCCATGGACAAACCCATTCACGTGAAAAATATAAGCTTTGAATTTCCTAAATACATGGGAACCATTCAAGTGAAAGAGGGAAAATGATTCAAAAATTTCAGATTCTACAAGTGTAATTTTAAAATCTTACCTATTACTTAAAAAGCCAAAAGATCACTGGTAGTGAAATTCTCACAAAATAAGGGATCATAATGGAAATACAAACAGTAAGACAAAGAATAAAAATTTTAAATGCAATTTAATCTGTGAAATAAGTGAAAACACTCAACCTCATTCAAAAACTGAAATCACAGGTACGAAAGTAACTTAGGTTACCCTGGGCTCTCTGCTTTCATTTTAGAGACTCATTTTGTAGCAGGCGCTAGCATCCAATTTCTAAAGGTTTTGTGGGTTGGTTGAAGGGCGGCAAGCGGAGGGAGAAGAGTGGAACAACATCCTAAGGCTTGCACCTAGGCCAGCCCCAGTAACCCCGAAGAAGTGAACACTGTAATAAATTACAGCAACTATTTTCACTTAGGTTCTCTAAGATACTAAATACTACACCTACTTCACACAGAGTTTGTTAAGAGACAAATTCCTTAAACTTGTTTGTATCACCTATGCTTGGTAACAAGTTTGTCTTGATGGGAGTAACATTATGCTGACTTAATTTCAAAGACACTGTTGGAAATCAAAGCGTCAAACCCAGAATCACCGGGAATGTGTGGCAAGCTATGGAACAAGAAACTTGTCCAGTTCATCTAACAATGATCTTCTCAGCGTTAGGAAGTAGAGGCTCAAAGAACGTATACATCTACGATGATTCTACAACACTTTGAACACTCTAAGCAACCTATGTTAACACAAATGAAACCTGATAAATAAGCACTCTAGACCCAAGCGCTTAAAGTGCCCTGAGCATTCTGGGGACATCGCATCAATTATGACAGTTTATGGAAACACTGATGACCTGATTCGCTCTGTCGCAGGGAGGAGCTATTAAACAGGGCTTCTGCCCAGACACACATAATCTACGCTTAATACACAATTCTTCGACATATTTTTCTGTGCCTTAGTATAATTATGCCGCATATACAGGTATCAGGAGAAACATGCAAAATAGCCAAAAAGAGGGGTGGTTCAAAGCAAGGAGCATTAACTCTTTCACTGTCTCTCATCTTCAGGAATCTATTTCTGCTGTTAATACTCTTTTCTCTCAATAAAAATTTTTGAGTAAATGAAGTTATATTCCATCCAGGTTCTACCCAGTTAACAAATCACTGTAACCCAAAATTCATTTCTATTTGATTTGGGCTGTATTTTTTATGATTTTTAAGGAGGTCAAAGTTTTATTGAGATGAAGTGCCATTTGCATTTCATGCCAACAACTTGTGGAAGTATTTTGGACAGCTGTGTGAACGAGCCTCTGCTATTAAATGACTTCTGTTACAAAGGTCACAGTAATTTGAAAACTCACATACGAATTTTTTTCTGTAGAATATCACCAATTCTATCAAAGTTTTTCTTTTCTAATGCAACCCCTTAAATTTAACATAATACAGAACTAAGACCTTTATATAATGCTGAAAACTTGCTTCTATTACTTACATTCAACTAAAAACTGCAGTTGTGGAGATTAAAGAGCCCAGTGCCTGGCACATGTGAAGAGCTCAGTTAAGTGCTGGTCATATCATGTGATATACAGAAATAAATAACACTTAAATGTGCTTATCCTTCAGGTCGATCTAGTTACAATTAAATGCTGATAACTGATTAACCAAATTGTGTTTTGTAGTCATTTCAGTCAACAGAATTCCCAGAAGGGTATACTTCCTGAACCTTTCCATGATCTCCGCCTATACCAAGGAGAAATGCCACAAAGTCCTCGGGAGAGTTAATAGAAGCTTAATTGCAAGGCAAATTTGGCTGCGATTGTGCCCAGTAATACTACCTCCCACGACCTCGAGGTCAAAATGCTTGAAGGTCTTAGGCACATCGAAGAGCTGGAGCCCCAGCCTCCCAAGCACCGCTGCGGTTTTCTTTAGCTACTTTTACCCTAAGCGTGTGTAAGGGGGAGGACGATTTTCTCTGAGTTCTCCTTGACTGTCACTTCAAAGTTAAGGGGAAGGGGGGGCGGGGACTTTCTGGTAAGCATGACCAGTCTTAACTCTCCAGACCTGAGTGCAGGTGTTCCAACTGGGCACGGAAATAACCCCGAACACAGACGGCACCTACTATATACCAGGCGCTCTCTGGAAAGACTTATATACGTGTCACGCGTTTAAGCTTCACGACAAACCTCAGGGTACGGTAAGTACCCGTACTATCTTCTCTTTAGAGAAAAAGGAACTGAAGCACTGGAGGTTTAAAAAAACAACAAAAACATGCCCAAGGTCACAGGGTTAGTAAACGGTGAGGCAGGTGTTTGAACGGGACCGGTTTCCGGATTTCATGCTCTTAACATACTACGTGGCCTCTCAGTCAAGAGGAGTAAAATTAGGAGGATTGAAAATGAGTGGGCAGGCTCAAGTGGAGACTCGAGGAAGCCCAAGGACCCCTTTTCTGTTAGCAGTCAACGGACGGGCATTTCTGGAGCACACCCGCTCTGGCAGGCGCCAGGAGCTGCGGCGGGCCTCCACGCGGACCTTGACGAGCTGCCCTCCCCACTGGCCGCCGAAGAGCCTAGAAGTCCCTTGTCCCCGAGTCGGAACGGAGTGCCCGGAGCGAAAGCAAAAACAAAAGGCCCGTGGCTCCCCGGACGCGCCACAGCGCCCAAGGCGGGACACACCACGCGCCCCGAGGCCTGGGCCGTCCTTTCGCGTCCGGCCCCGCCTCGGCCGCGGGCCCCGCTTCGGCCCCGCTCGCGCCCAACCCCGGGCCGCCCGCGCCGCCTCACCGGCTTCTGGGCGACGCCCGACAACACGCGGGAGACAGCTGCGAGCATTTTCCTCATGGGTTGCCGGCAGAAGCGGCGGCGGCTACTCCCAAACGACCCAAGCACCGCAGCGCCGGAATCCCCAAGTCTCCTTCAGGCGCCCGGAGCGGAGGCCACGCCTTAATCGGGGCCCGTCGTGACGGAACGGAAAGACGTCATGCGCTGCGCCGGGCCGCAGGCCTACCGGGAAGGCTCCTGGGTTGCGCACCGCCCACCCAAAAGGCCTGCGGCCGCTCATTGGGTGTGGGAGCCGGAGAGGGCGGGGTTGGGGTAACACCGGTCAGCGTGCCACCGGCAGGTGAGGGTCTCCTGGGAAAGTGGCGCTCCGCTTCCTTGGCCCCGCGGGAAAACGACCTTTTCCTTGGATTTTGCAACTCTGATTAGGCGTGCACGATTGTAAACCATGCAGGCCACCTACAGTGAGCCCAGTCCTGCCGGTGCTACACTTTTGAAGCCTTCGCTCAGTCCACGGGATGATTAAGATTAACGGCACGGTCGAGGCAAAAGAGAATATCTGATTTCTGTAAATGATTCTGCTGCTAACATGTCTTTAAAGGGGTCATACAAGAGTTGTGGAATGCTGTCCTTTCTACCTGAGCCAGGATCCAAAAATCGGTTCCCCAAGTGAATATTGAGAGATCAATGGGAGACGCTTTTTAGCTCTATTTACTGGTTCACAAGCTCGACGTTAACAGTCGCATAACAAAGCTGATAATAAAAGCCTACACACACAAAAAAAAACAAACACAAAAATAACACTAGCTTCTCTTCGCTAAGTTCCCGGGTCAAAGGGCTCATTGTGAGCTAGTGGGATTACACCTGAGGTACTGGGTTCAGATTTGGGCTCCCCATTTATGGGGAATAATTTCAAAAATAGGTGGAATCCAGGTCAGAATGGCGAGAGGCTGACATCATAATTTGTGAAGAATGATGAAAAGAGTTAGGGGGAAAAAAACAGACTGATTTGGAGTGGGCTAGGTTATTATCTGTTAACAATCAACCGCCACATTTCAGTCCCCCCAAGAACTTGAGGTGGCCCAAGTCACCTTGTTCACACTACAGGTCCCTCACAGCTTGGCTGGGGCTCTGCTCCATGTCATCTTCACTCTGGAACTCAGGATGATGAAATAGTCTCTATTAGGAGCTTAGCTTTTCTCAGAGTAGAGGGAAAGAGATCATTTGAACAGGATATCCAAGCGTCTACCCAGAAGTGACGCATATCATATTCTCTCAATTTCCATAGACCAGAGCTAGTTACCAAACCATATCTGAGTTCAACAGGGTGAGGTATAATCCTTCTGTCGGGAAGAAACCCAGAAAACTAGATGAATAGTAAAACCACAGAGGATTACATCTTTACACATTTTCATACCAGTCATGTTCATGCGACAGCTAGGGTATGCGTGTGTGTGAGGAAAATGATTTCAATTCAGCATAACAATCAATTTTCTAACAATGAGAATTGTCCCATGAGATAATTCTCTACCAACGTCACCAAAAGTACTCAAAGCAGAAATTCAAACATGACCAGATGTCAGAATGACTAGAAAAAGGACTTTGACACCGGCAGGAGTCTGGACTGAGAGACCTTATCGATTCGTTCAACCTCTATGACTAGGTGACTGTGAGAAGAGCACGTAAAGGAGTGAAAGGGATCATGAAGATGTAGGGAGGGAAGCGAAATCCATTGCACAGAAGGACCTCAGCAGCTGCTGCTGCTGCTGATTGAATGTGAAGGGTGAAGAAAAGGGAAAGCAAAGGGTGAGAGGTCAGATGTTCAGGTCGTGAATAGCAGCTGATCTGCTGGTTTGGGACATGTTGACCTCGAAGTGGCGGTGGAAAACTTATCTGTATATGTCCCCTAGGAAGTTGGGAGTTGTAAATCTGGAACATATAGCTAGAAATATAAATTTGGGAGTTATTTGTATAGGGGTGATATTGACTGTGTGTGTCCAAGAGCACCGTAGGACGTATGGACATGATGACCCAAATAACATCATTCATTCATTTAAGACCTATTTATTGAGCACTGATTATGTTTTAGAGACTGTACCAGGCATTGGGGACATAGCAAGGAACAAGCAGAATATAGGCTCTATCTCACAGAGTGGGGTAATTAACAAGTGCACATAAATATATATTATATGAACATGCAATACTAACAATCAATGATGTGAAGAAAAGTTAAACAGGATAAGGGGATAGAGAATAAGGAGGAGGGTCAGAAAGACTCCTCTGATGAGGGGACATGTAAGCAGACACCTGAATGCAATCAGGAAGCAAACTATGCAAAAATCCCAAGTAGAGATTTTTAGACAAAGGTGTCAACAAATACAAACACCCTGCGATGGAAATAAATTTTGTATATTAGAAGAATAGCAAGAAGACCAAGTGACTTTGGTGGCATAAAACAAGCAGAGATTCAGAAGAAATGAAGTAGAAAAGAGGTACAGGTAGGGCCCTAGTGGGATTCTTTGTTTTTCTTGGTAGGAAATTGAAGTTTGTTTGGAGTGAGATGGGAAGCTATTGGAGAGATGGGAACAAGAGAAGTGGCCATAATTTAATTTCCATTTCCACTGAACACCTAAGACCATTCTGGCTGCTGAGTGGACATTTGATCACATGGGAACAAGAGTTCCCTTAGTGCTTATTCTTTGAATTCTGGGTAGCTTCTGCTTCCTTTGAGGCAACTCCTAGTTGTAGACAATAGCAGATTGGACGTAAGTTGTTATTTGCTTCATATTTGCAATAAGCAGAAGCCTACATCCTCTGTGTGTCATTGCTACCCAAACACTATAAAGATTTAAGATGTAGGATTTTTTTTTATTTAGAGAGAGAGAGAGCAAGCACAGGAGGGGGGTGAGGGAGGAAGAGGGAGAGGAAGACAGAGAGAGAGGGAGAGGGGGAGAGATGGAGGGAGGGAGAGAGAGAAGGAAAGGGGGCGAGATGGAGGAAGGGAGAATGGGAGAGAGAGAGAGAGAGAGAGAGAGAGAGAGAGAATATTAAGCAGGCTCCACACTCCACACTGACACAGGGCTGGAGCTCACAACCTTGGGATCGTGACCTGAGCTGAAATCCAGAGTCGAATGCACAGCTGACTGAGTCACCCAGGCACTCCTAAGCTGTAGGATTTTGTGAGAATAACAAAGGGAAATGTGTACATCATTGTGTCTCAAAGTTGGGAGCACTCTGTGCGTCAGGAGAGACTGACTAGGCTATGTTGCAGTAACACATCAACCTCAAGCATCAGTGGATTACTACAACAGGGGTTATTTTTCACTCATGTTCTATGTCCAACACGGATATTCCTCCATGATGTCACTCGAGAACCCAAGATGAGAGACACTCCAATATTTCAGTACATAACCTTCATGGTCAATGCAGCAGGAAAGCACAGAGTGCAGAAGGTCTCACAATGGCACTTAAACACTTTGCATGAGTATCTCCTGTCCCTAGTGCACAGTTACTCTAGACATGGCGGCTCGCTGGGCTCCTGTGCCATCCAACAAGCAACACACTCTCCAACAAGGGGACTCCTCCTTGGGTGCCATATTCCAGCCCATGGGGCTGTGGCTGCTTCTTCCATCTGCTATTCCTGTAGCCTTCATATTTCTCTTTATATATTCTCCCTCCTACTCTAACTCCTATGATTTGAGCTATAAAATGAAGAGTGATAGTAGTGGACTGTAACCCATCAAAGAAAATAAATAACCATGAATCCTTACAGACACAATACACAATTCAATAAATTAGTAGAAGGGAAGAGGCAACTTTTCCTTACAGCAGAAATCCAACTGACTGATGTAGAAAGAATGATGGAATTGGGGGCGGGGGGACGCGGTGATCATCATTTGGCAAAGACCACAGTAATAATTGTCGCAGGCCAGAATGCCCATTGGAAGCTAAAATTAGCAGCTGCAAGTATAATGAGAGACAGCACATTTGCATAATCTCAAAGTATCTCCCTACGAGATACTATTTACAAAGGATTAAAAAAGTAAATTCACAGTGGAGGAAAAGGTGACCCAATTTCTTTTTGAGCGAGAGTGAAAAAGCACGAGTGGGGGGAGGGGGCGAGAGAGAGAGAATCTTAAGCGCAGAGTCTGATGTGGAGCTCCATGTCACGATAGTGAGATCATGACCTGAGTCGATATCAAGAGTCAGGTACTTAGCCTACTGAGCCACCCAGGTGCCCCTCCAAGTTTTAGTAAGTACGATATTTTCTCACTTTTTTTTTTTTTTTTTTTTTTTGCCAGAAGTTTCAAAGCTAGGGTTGGAAGTGACCCTGAAGGTAAGGGACGCTTCAGGTGCTATATGAGTGGTGATGAATGTTATCTAGACTTCCTGTGGTGATCATTTCACAATATGTACAAATTTTGAATCAGTATGTTGTACACCTGAAACTAACATGATGTTGTTATATGCCAATTATCTCCATTTTAAGCCAGAAAAAGAATCCCTTCGGTTCTTAAAGAAAAATAAACATTGATGGGTTCCATGAAAAAGGGGGAGAGGACTTCAGAGTTTGGGCGGAAGTGGAGATGAGGGACTCTCCATTCTCTCTCCAGTGCTCCTGTCGGCCACTGCTCTCTGCTCTCCACTCTCTGGGTGGTGCCGGAGGATTGAGAGAAATATGCCTTTTGACCTTTCCTTCGCAAAGCTCCCCAAAAGTACAATCAAGCTGAACTTTTGGGCAAATCATGGTCCTTACACGCCTTTGGCTTTCTTGGTGGGAGCTGTCCCCACCCATGAATGACTTAGAATAGAAGGACCATATACCCAGGTGAAAAGTCAGTGACTACTTGAGTATTTGGTGTGCTAGGCCCCATGCTGGTGGACGGATTATGGCTAAGGGCTATTTTGACTTTGGAACCATATAAATGTTTTACATAACCATAACACAAAATGGAATAGACACAGAAATGAGGGGTAACAAATGAATTTAACCATATACCGAGCTGCTGACATAATGGCACAGAGAGAATGGCCTGCAGCTACTGACTAACGCAGTAGTAAAACCAGAACAAAAACAACTGCCAAAAACATCTTAAATTCTTTTCAGTTATCTGTGTTACTGTTATTTCTAGATTACACATGCACGCACGGACACACACACA